AAGATGAAGAGATGACGACAGCAGCGACGCAAACAGGACCCAGACCCCAACACTAACAGCCCCGGAGCTCTGGTTCGGTGCTCATTATATATGCCTGGTGTGGCCAAGCTCCACCTCTGGCCACGCCCTCTTTCTAGAACCTTCTAGACCAGGTGTAGGGAACCTTTTTTCTGCCAAGGGCCATTTGGATATTTATAACATCATTCGTGGGCCATACAAAATTATCAACTTAAAAATTAGCCCGTTATATTTGATCAAACATTTAATTAACTCACCCCTAATGTGATGGCTGGAACTGCTTCTCTTTGGTGAGGCGTGTGATGTTAGCTGGTATTGATGATGTTGCTACTCGCAACTGCTTTTCCAGGTTTGCTCCTAGATTTATTGAATTTCGAGTCCCGCCTGCAGTTGCCTTGGCAGGGCCGGGACCTAATGATTTCGCCGGCCTTATACGACCCGCGGGCCGAACGTTCCCCACCCCTGTTCTAGACCCTTCGGGACGGTGCCTGGAGCTTCTCGACTGATTCCGCCCTTGACCTTTACCCCAGATACGCCCCTTCATAACAAGGCATTATGTAATGCAGCTAGAACCGTAATGACCCTTACAGGCCGGCAGGTGTCACCCTGTCATTACACACGTATGTAAACTTGAGAAAATACACGTATGTGTATTAGAAAAACCACCGTGGTTGGCAAGACTCAAAGGCTCGTGGAAAATAGGGGGTTAGGTTCTTGAAAACCCCCGTGGTTAGAAAAACCGTGATTGGCAAGACTAAAAGGCTTGTTGAAAATCGGGGGTTAGGTTCCTGAAAACCCCCGTAGTTAGGAAAACCGTGTTTGGCAAAACTAAAAGGCTTATGGAAAGTAGGGGGTTATGTACTGCAGCGGCGGTTAACACTTCCATCAACGCCTAACTACGCACCCTATCCATTCAGTAAACTTGACAAATACATCCAGTACCGAAGAACACACGGTAACCCTGTATGACCAAAAAACCTTTTAATTACCTTTAATGTTGATAGTGAAGTCCAGATAACGTTGACAGTGACGATGACAACGATGATGGTGATGTTAGGGAATGGGGAGGGGGGACTCTGCTCACACAGCCCAGATGCCGTTCTACCGACGCATCACTCTCTCCGCGAGCGAGACGAACGTGCAACTCAACTTTATTTATGAAAAAATAAGATATGTATTACCCTTTCTGGCAATAAAATAGGTGTCAAGATGTTCAAATACAAACCTTTTTGCAAGGAATCAACGTCGTTTATTTTCTCTAAAGACAACCACAACAATCACCTCGCCCTCTTCCTCACGCGATGCTTCACCTTCACCGCCAGCTCGATGCTTTAGGGGCCATGATTAAAGGGGAAATTGAGTGGTATTGTAAATAACGCAAACTTTCACGAGGTATAAATAACAGCACCACTGCATTTTCACGACTGATGCACACTAAACGACGGGGATAAGTGCAGTGATACCTTGACTTTCGTCGCTTCGCTCTTTCGATCGTTTTCAATCATAACCACGTTTCAAATTTCGTCCACGCATATTTAATCTTTCGTCCAATTTCATCCCCAAACCTTCCACAATGTTAGCACCACGTGCGATGTTTTTTGTTCACTCTTTAAATAGAATTCGTTCAGTGAGCATCTCTTAGGTTTATTTTTCTTTAATTTCAGTTTATTTAGGTTTCGCGCGCATGTGTTATTTAGTTACTGTAGTTATTTGCATGTACGTTTTTATATTTACTGTAGTTATTTGCGAGTACGTTTTTCGCCGGCCAAAATAAACTTGCAAGCGAAATGAAGGCTCTGCTTTGACATTTGTCCATTTTTCACATTCGTCCATGCTCTGGTCCCTAACCAGACGAACGTGCGAGGTATTCCTGTACTATTTCTTTGGTTCTTTCGGTAAAGTCATATAGATAAAAAAAAAAGTAAATAAAATAAAAACTACGACGTTTCGATCACAACACAAGCGATCGTCTTCAGGAGAACAAATAATATTAATTCCTGCAGTCACGAAAGTTTTAAGTCAAAATGTATTCCTCTACTGTGTAGTGGTGGGTTCCACGCGCTTGATGCGCCCCTGGTGGCGGATTGCTTGAACAAGGCGGGAGATTTGAAGTCTCGGATAGCGGCGGGAAAAACAAAACCGTGGTTATGCGAAATATTGTGTGTGGGTACTCAAAACCGTAGTCGTGAGGGATTCCCGTTTGTATTTATAATGTAATTTGTTACCGAACGCCGGCCCCAAAACGCCTTGCAGCCAGCTACAAACAATACTATTAAGGATATAATAAATTATAGCTATTTTTATTATCATGACACGCTTTTATTTAACTTGCTCTGTCTGTTGTTGTTGTCGTATCCTCAAATCTTGTAAGGAAATTTTAACCCACTTCCCAATGTGATATCGACTGCAAACTTGGTATACTTATGTCATACTGATGACAATACTATATTCTATAAAAAAAAAGTATTTTTAAACAATCTTTTTAACATGTTATGTTTCTGCCTGGGTCTAATTGTCCACGCTCAACTGACGTTGGCTGTAAATCACCACGGCCCCTTACGTTATGGCAAGCTTCTGGGCCACTTCCTGGAGTCGTGGAGTTCTGCCATTACGAGTAGGGTACATTTCATGAAAGCGTGTTAAAATTTTTTTTTAAATATTACTTATTTTTTATTGAGCAAGGTTTATAAAAACTTTGGAAAAACACGGCTGAAGGAATCAATGAGTAAAGCTTTCTGAAAGGGTAAACCATGGTGATAGCATTAGTGGCCATTCATAAATGACGTCACGCACCTGGGGGGGGTCAGACATTTGTGACGATGTGTGACGAGGGGGAGGTTGAAAAATGTGACGTCACATCAAAATGCGCAACTTTAAATATAGATAACACGTTCTACTTAATTAAATAGTTTTTAATAAATGTTTACTCCTACAACATCATAGTGCAGCGCCACATTAAATACGCACTACAATTGATGGGGCCGCTGGCCCCCGAGTTCTCTCCCCGCTGGGCGCCGACTGCAGGGGTCCCGCCGTTTCCTGATCCCTCGCTGGTATGCGAACAGCCGCTGCCGCCGCTGGGCTCATCGCTCGCGAGGTAAGGGCTGTCGCCCGACAGCTCCCCTCCCTGGTTCGCCCCACGGCGAGTTCGCGAGAGAGGCATGGCTCGTCGCCGGCTCCCGTACGCCTGTAAATACTGCGTTGCCTCTCCGCCAATCAAATGTGACGCCTCCCCTCACACAGCCCCGCGCAGCAATCACACGTTCTAAACGGGAGGTCAGGGGTCGGAGGGCGAATGGCTTCGCTCGCGTCTGCGGTACCGATTGGTGTTCTTGTTACGGGAGGTTTAAAGGGCTGCGAGACAGCGTGCGTAAGGGGGGGGTTTAGTCCGTACGCGGTGCGGGGTCCGCAGCAGCCAGAGGGAGCGTACACCCGTGGAGCGCGGACTACACACGCGGTGAGCGTACGTACACACAGCACCACGCTTTCACACTCTCGTCGAAACCACACGAGGCTACGATTAGTTATTAATGATTTATTACCGGCCGACTGCGATTCACTGTTACGTCAGTAAGGATCGACAAGGCAGGCCTACACTATTGCCCGAGGTTCTGTACCCGATTTATTTAATGTGATGGACTCTAAGCGGTGTTACTTTCACTAGACTCAATCCCAACACTCTCTCTCCTCTTACTCACAGGTAGATGCTTACGCCGCTCCGTTGGTCTCGTCCTCGCTGCTCACCTCGACGCGTCACATGGACGTTCGAGTGGCCGCACTGGAGACCGTCCCAAGGGCTGACTTTTGGAGCAAGAGTCCCTCTACCTGTCTGCGCTCCCCTTTTTTCCTTAACCTACATCAAAGACCTCCGACCCGAGGGCCCTCTCGGCCAATCAGGTCACTGTACCGGTTCAGCCGCATTCCCGGTTTCCCTAACAATGGGCGCCCGCTGGCCGCGGCGCTGGTGGCGGCCCACGGGCGCCTTTGTTATTGCCAATCAGCCGCGGTTTCCGTAACAAAGGCTCGTCGCGGGCTGCTGCGTGGCGGCGGTCCCCGCGCTCACCCGCCACGCCAATCAGCCGCTCCCCTTGGCTTCCCCTTCGTTCGTGGCTGCGTATCCCTGCCTGTCTTGCCGATACGTGTGTGTGGGGGTTGCGTTTCAACCGTGATGGCTGGACAGCCCCCGCCGTGACCATGCAATCTCAACCCAGGTCACAGCGCTGCGGTGCGAATTAGCATCGGGGGAGGTCGCCCAATTCCCCGGCCGCAGGAAACCGTGAAGATTATCCCTGAGGGCTTTTCGGGTGAAAACCTGCCGGCCAGGTGACCTCCCCTCGGAGCTCTATGGGGGGAAACGTGTGGGGGTGTGTTTATGTGGGGGGCGGTGAGGGGGAAGCGGGGTCGGCCCGTCGCTTGGTGGTGGCGAGGTCGTAGATTGGGCGCCCGCCGAGCGGCTTCGCGGCAAATTCCTCGTTGCAACTATCCTCAGCTAGCTGACACCAGGCCACTGTGGGTTTGAATAGGGTCCTAGATGGACACCCACCACTGGAGTGGAAGAATGGCAGACGCATCTTACAGATGGGCAAGTCGATGGTCAGTGGGGAGATCAACTTCCACGAGAACTTCCCCCCGTAAGATGGCCGCCCGATAACCCCGCCGCCCCCCCCCCCCGTGAAGACGCGGGGTGCAAGCGTCCCCACGTAAGATGGCCGCCCGCTCTAACCTCCATTGGATGCGGGATGCAAGCGTCCCCACTTAAGATGGCCGCCAGCTTTAACCTCCCTTGTTCGATAGGGGGGGGCAAGTGTCCCAACGTAAGATGGCCGCCCGCTCCAATCCCCCCCTACCCTCATTGGATGGGGGGTGCAAGCGTCCCCCCCCTCGTTGAATGGGGGGGGGGTAGGAGTGTGGGGGGTGAGTGTCCCTACGTAAGATGGCCGCCCTCTAGCCTCTCCTTCCTCGTTGAAGGCGCGCGGCACGAACCGCGCTGCCCGCTCCCCATGTGCGCGACTGTTGCAGCAGTAGCAGCAACAGCAGCAACCACCACCACCGCCGCTGTTATTCTTGTTGTTGTTGCTGCTGTTGTTGTTGTGTCCCCGAAGCCCCCGTCGCTTGCGGCTGCTCGCGCGCCGCGTCTCCGTCTTCGTTTCGCCGAGCCGACGCAAAGAAGCGGCCCTTGGCGGGAGACGCCGGCGGCACCATGCCCGGCACAGGCCTCGCCCTCAGGTAGCAGCAGCAGCGCTGAACACGTTGACACAGCCTCGGAACAGTTTACCCACCACGACAGCCGTGCTCACTCCACTGCCGTGTTAATACCGAACCAGAGCCGTGTCTTATCACGGGAGATTGACCGTAAATTCACCGCGATGGTGAAGGGAGGGTGGGTGAGCGGCCATTCAGGTTAGTAAACTATTAAACAATGTTTAACTTTATCAGATAATGCCCACCATCAGTAGCACTGGGCTACTGATGTTAGCCGTGGCCCGGAATCTCAACTTGGGTGGGTGGGGAGGGCCTGACAAAGAGTTCAGTGCGCTAACCATTGCGCCACCACTCCCCCTCCCGTGATAAACTTCATTTGCCACGCTGATCGGTGCCGGTTGTCGAACGGTTCGGGTTGACCGCCTGTTGCAGGAACGTTTCGAATATCACTGGGCCACTGTCGATAACCACTGGCTTGTAAAGTTTGGTCTCGTACACGGTATGTAGATCGTTTATTGTTAAATCTGAATCAAAGTTTCTTTGGTCACTGTTTCATTATTGCTTTATTTTGGTGATTTCATAAACGTTTTGGTTTAGCCATATTTCTTTGTTGTCGTACAGAGTTAGACTGGATAACATTACTCTAAATTGTCTTATTATGGTCGTTATTGTTTGACTTGCACCCCACTGGGATTTTTGCACAGCGTTGAAATGCGGTGCTTTTTCTTGAAGACTTTGCTGTTTTTTCCTGGATGTTTCTGATTTGCGTGTAGTCACTTTAAGATGTGTTCTTGTTCATGTTTTTGTTTGTTGCGGTTGCACCCGATTCAAGAGCCGAATGGCTCACAGGGCGACACCAAATAAATGAACTGAACTGAGGTTGGGGCAAGGTCCAAGATGCTCAGTGTTTTAACCATTGCGCCACCGCTCCCCTCAATACGGGGTGGTCCACATGGCTTGTGACCCCGATTTGATTCTGTTAAAAAAACTTTTTTTTGTATTAACGTTTATTTTAAAACATACATTTATAGTCAAAGGGAATGCAAATGTTAGGGGTCACAAGACCGCTAGACCGCCCTGTATGATACAGCACGTTTATGTTCATCTCAAGGTGTGTGAAAAAGATCTTTATAGCTCATCGGATTCCTCCGATGTCAGATACAGTATTCTGAAGGCCGGGGTTGTTTGACCATTATTTGACTACCCTTGGTCATCGCGGGTTGATTAAAGTGCGCGGCCGAGGTTCTGCAAGTCGTTCAGATGTCATTCGTGACTTTATCAGAGAATTATCTCATTTGTTTTTAATCAATACACATTCTAGCTTTGAAGTTTTCGTGACTGCAAGGATCCATACTCTTTGATTATTTTGGTAAAGTCGCGTAGGTGAAAATAAAAAAATAAAATGAAAATAAAAATAACTCAATCAGTGATTTAATTTAGTTATTTTAATTGTATTTTTATTATTATTTTCACCTACGTGACTTTACCAAAAGAACCAAAGATAATGAATACACACTTTACACGAGTTAGAACCGTGTGTTCCCAGAGTGGGTTGTGTGGGTGCCAGCATCGTGCTCCAAATTGGCCATGTTCAATACTTGACCTGCGATTAACTCAACATCGCCTCCCCGTGCTGGCAGACTGCTGCCCATTGGCAGGACAGTGCTGTGTTGGTGGACACCTTGCGAGGGATGTTAACTCCCTCGCTTGGTATGCAGGAGGTTGTGGTTTCCATCCAGACCCTGGCAATGACTCCCGTTGTATTTTTGGAGTTTGCGTGTCTCTCCCCGTGGTCGCGTGGATTTTTCTCCGGGTCCTCCGGTTTTCCCCTCCCCATTCAGAATCAACATCACGCGTTGAGAGCATTTTGCAACTGCTATAAATTTCCACATGATATGGATCTTTGGAGTTTCGTTAAAGTCACGTAGAATGGAAATAATAAAATAATAAAAATAAAACATAAAATAATTCTCACGACGTTTTGGCCACAACGCAAGCAGCCGGTGGAGAGCAGGTCTGTCGAGTAGACAGAGTCTGAATGACACTACTAATATAATTTTCCACATGATATGTATATTTGGAGTTTGCGGTGTCTCTCTCTCGGTCCCCGTGGTCGCGTGGATTTTTCTCCGGGTCCTCCGTTTTTTTCCCCTCCACATTGAGAATCAACATCAAGCGTTGAAATTATTTGGCTACTTCTATAAATTTCCGCGTGATTATAAGCCGCTTAGTTGATATGTCATTGTGTGGCTAGATCGCTTCTGAAATAAAGAGCTATATCGCTCAGTGGGCTTTACCTGGTAAGATAAAAAAACACGTTCCTTCAAGGTGGGCAGGTAGGAACTTGGTTGGACTGCGCATTCGTGCACGACAAACAAATATGCACGACAGACAGACAAATAATCCCTGGTGGGCAGTGTGGAACCTGTTGTTCCTACCTGTAAAATAGTTTAATATAGTTTTAGTTCGCCACGGGGGGCTCTCCCTTGGCTAAACTGCAGCAGGGTATTGGAAGAGTAGATGATTTATGAGATGCGTTAAGCGTGTTGAGTTGCTGGAGACATTTAAGCATCGTGTACAGTATTACCTTTGTGTGTGTCTCTCTCTCTGTGTTATCTCTCTCTGCTTATGTGTCTGTCTTTGTGTCTCCGTGTCTGTGTTTTGTCTCTCTCGAATTTTGCACTCTTTAGAAGAACGTAATCGACCAGGTAGGGTGTTGAATGTTGTGTTAGCCGACTCTGTGTTGTATTGCATTATATTTCTAAGTTTACTAGGTTTGTTTTCTCTTTCATTCGTACCTGATGATGATTGTTTGTGTTGCAATCGAAACTTCGGTTGCTATTATTTAATACATTTTTTCTTTCTACATGACTTTACCGAAAGAACCAAAGAGAGTATTACCTCGTTATTCACAAGGGATACGTTCCGGAGATGCAAAGTTTTGCGGATAATGATGTTGGCCTAAATAAATACGTAAACAAGCTTTCTCTCTCATCACTCTATCTTATCACTTTCTTTCTCTCTCGATGCCGTCGTTTGGAGTTCCAGATGCATTTCGCGGATAGCCAAAATCGCGGACAGCAAGTTCGTGAATAACGAGGGAATGCGGTACACACACGTGTTTATCCTTTCATAATGAGAGATACTGTCTTCCCCATTCCCTTGCTGCAGGAGCTGCCGTGAGCTGTGGAACATTGTCCTTGGCAGGAGTGCACTGAGGGAAGAGGTGGGTGATTCTGAAATCCCTCAGTGTATGTACGTTGAACTTCTTTCGCACCGTACGTAGCCAACCGTGCTAATCAGAGGTGTGGGGGAAGGACAAAGACGCTTGGCCTGGTATCCATCCTCCATCATCATCATAGTACTACTTGTTGTTTAGCCTATGTCCCACTCATCATTGTCAGGCGGTCTGTCAATGCCTCTGACCAAATCAACCTAAATGCTCTCAAATTCATCAGATTTGGGTAACTTAGCTGAGTTAACCCGGATATTGCTTTGACAGGTGACCCCACCATGCATTAAACAGGTGTAATAGGTTGCTTCGGACCTAGGATTGTCGGCTGAACGCAGTGCAACAATATCGATCGTTGTACTGTACTATGCTCCCAATAATTGTTCCCTACCTTCACTAACATATACAAACATTTCAAATGTTTGTGTATACTTCATTACATGCTTGCGATGTAAAGGAAAGTATCGCTCGGGACAGCCACGCATATTAGATGTTGCTTCTCAACGAATATTCCAGGTGAAATATTGAAATGACTAAATAATACCGCACTGACCAACGCAGTGACATGAGCCAACCAGCCCCTTATTTCGTATGACATGGGGCTGAGGGAGGCCCTCATCCAGCAGGGGATTGACCAAAAGGGGGCTGTACATCTATTTGCAGGTGACTTATTTTAATCAGGTGAGACCCCGGTGAGACTTCCAACGAGGTGTTTTCAAGTCCTGGGCCGTAAAATTAACAGCATGAGAAGAGATGCATATTGCATTGCGGACGCAAACACATTCCTGCGGAGGGAGCTGGTAGGACCGTTGGGTTGCTCGGTCAATGGCCAGGGTCAACGGCGGCGTGGTGTATTCCGCAAATATGCCCGACTGTGAGGGCGGGTACAAGCTGGCGTGAGTAGGTTAAACGTTGAGTTTTATAAGAGCACTACGGGGTGACCAGCCCCTCCCCACCCAGCCCCACCCCTCCCACCCCCCACCCAGCCCCACCCAGCCCCTCGCCACCCTCCGCTCTCCACCCAGCCCCACCCCTCCCATTTTTGGATGCAGGGCGGACGGACACAATAATCCCCTGTGGGCTGGTGGAACCAGGTGGTTCCTACCAGTATTAACCTTCCGCAAATCTCGTTGATGTTTTGCTTGCGACGTTGGAGCGTTGAGTTGTGGCTGATTTGGACAACGGAGATCCTGGCTGCCAAGGCATTGACACGTGTGTGTGTGTTTGCTTTCCCTCTGTGTGTTGTCAGGAGCAAATTAAGGATGAGCTCGACAAGCACTTTGAACGCCTGGAGCAGGGATTGGCTTTCTTCAAAGTGCCCAGGTAGGAGGCGTGTGTTTGTGTTGGTACAGTGGGGGGCATAGGTGGTGCATCTGCCATTCATCTCAGTCCGTCAACCCATGGCACCTGGGTTTGTCCCATGACCTCTTGCCAGCGGGCCTTCGACACTTCACGTGGCCGTAAAGTCCACATAGCCTGGCCCAAGCGCCATGGTGACGTCACCGCCACTTAGTGGCAAATGGCGGTTGTTTTTTTGTGTTGCTGCTTCTAAACTAAAACTCAACTATATTTATTGTACCAGGTAAGGCCCACTGAGCTATGTAGCTCTTTTTCAGAAGCGACCTGCCCACGAATTATCGCTCCAAGACGTGGTTTATGATCATGTGGAAATTGATAGCAGCCAAATACTTTAAACGCATGATTCTAAATGTGGAGGGAAAAACCGGAGGACCCAGAGAAACATCCACGTGACCACTGTGGGGAGAGGAGAGAGACACGCAAACTCCAAATATACACGCGTCAGGGTCGGGATCGAACCCACGACCTGTATCCCAGGCGAGGTAATTAACATCTCGCCACTGTGGCGAGATATATTTCGGGGAGCGTAATCGTTGAACGTACACGTACGTCATCGCAACGGGAGAGGGTTAATGTGATGGTTTTGTTGTGCACTCGTGTCATTGAGTGGCAGGTTTGTGCCAGAAAGGCACCCAGTATATAAGCCAACATTTTTTTATTGACGAGATGCTGGGGCAGCCCAGCCCGGAACTTGCCCCGGCATTACAGAATCAGAATATTTATTAACACTCGAGGAATCCACAGATGTCCAGTGGGGGAGGGTAAAAATGTTACAACAACAACAACAAACAATACAAAAACATGATAGCAGTGTACAGTATAAGAAAGTTTAAACAAATCACCCTGACACATACAAATGAAACTCAACCATCCCCATCCTACCAGGCAAAGCCCACTGAGGGTATTAACTTATTTTTCAGAAGCGACCTGGCCACAAATGATAGCTCAACAAAGTTGCCCATCATTTGAACGTTTATCGCACCAAAATCACCTAAATCATCTTTTGAGGACACACGGCAGACAGGTCTCTCTCACTCGGCCGATGTGATACCATTGTCGATGGTACTTCTAACTTGCAGCGAATGCATGCCACTATCCCGCAGCAACGCCTCTGCACAGAAGCTGCAGGCTGACAAGGAGGCGGATGAATCCCTCAAGGGCTTCAGCGTCAAGCTCAGCGAATTCCTGGTGAGGTGTCGCTCGCGGCGGTGTTTTGTGTTTGAAAACGTCGCGGCAAAGTCGGTCCGTCGGTCACCGGCCATGACGGAGACGCCAGCCAACGCCCTCGGTCTCATCTTCTTGGTTCTTTCGGAAAAAAGTCACGTAGAAGGGAAATAATAAAATAATAAAAATTAAACATAAAAGACAGCATTTCAGACGCTGTCTTTCCGACAGACCTGTTCTTCACCTGAGGACGGCTGCTTGCGTTGTGGCCGAAACGTCGTGAGAATTATTTTATTATGTTTTATTTTTATTATTTTATTATTTCCCTTCTACGTGACTTTACCGAAAGAACCAAGAAGATGAATCCCTGCAGTCACGAAAGCTTTAAATCGAAATTTAGCCCTCGGTCTTGTCCGATTTCGGAAGCTAAAGCGGGGTTTGAGCCTGGTTGCTATTTGGATGGGATGCCGCCTGGGATTGCCAGGTGTGTTAGGCTTGGGTTGCAAGATGGCCGTTAGATGGTAGGGCAGCCTGGCCCTCCCCTCGCATCTCAGGTTACTCACCTCCTCGCACTCTGCCCTTCTGCTCACTCGACTCAGCTCCATGCATCCAGCTATTTCTAATCTCGCTCTACGCACCTCCGTGCTCTCCAACCTCTCCCCTCTCATCTCACTCTACTCACCTGCACACACTCTCCTGCCTCTTACCTCTCATCTCGCGCTACTCTCCTCCACGCACTCTCCAACCTCTCCCCTCATCTCATTGTACTCCCCTCCACTCTAGCAACCATCTCTTTATCAACCTTTAAACCTGAAGTCGTTCATTCTTCTCTGCTGCCGCCAGGGTCTGTAACTATCTTCCCCCAGCCGCCTGTGCTGTTGCCTCCCTGCTCATGTTCAACTCCAAGACACTTCCTCTTCTCGTCTGCCGATGGCCAACGCATGCCCACCCTTTCTCTCTCGAGTGTCTTGTGATGGAGTTGTATTTGGATGTTCTATATAAACAAGTAGCTTTCCTACCCGGCTTCGCCCGGGACTTGGATTCACCATGCCCGGTCGCCTTTGTCTCCCCAGTGGCAATGTTCACACACCACACCAGTTACTCGTTTGAGGCTGAGTCGACCTAGGGGAGGCCCAGGACCAGTTAAAATAATCGTCACCGGTGGTGGCTGTGAGCGGGAATCGAACTCGGGTCGCCGGGTTCGTAGCGCGGCGCGCTAACCACTACAGTACAATGCGTTACGCTTCCACATGCGCGGGTCACGTGACAGATGTGACGTCACAGCTCACTTGCCGTGCAAAAAAGATATGCATTATTGAGCTCCCCCTCCCAAAAAAAACCACAAGTGTATTTTAATAATTTTTGCATTGTGTACAGTCTGGAAAGTACCCACATGGCAAATTTCAAGTTTGTTGCATGTCGGGAAGTAGGCTAAACATTTTTAACAGACACACACAATCACAATTTTGGCTTTTATATATATGGAGATGAACACAAATTCATTGTTATTGTAATGGATTTTCGAATCTGGCTGTGCGAAACTCTCATTGTTAACCCCCCCAAATACATGGGGTTGTTCCCGGCTACCCCAGTTTCCTTCCACGTGTAGCAACAACGCTGACGACATGGATTTGGCCAAAATTCCCAATGCAGGACCCTCCTGAAATTGCCTTGAGCCTCAGCAAGGCTTTCAATTAAAAGGCAAAAGCCGCCGTGTACACTGTAATCACGTAACGATTTAATAAACAGGACCCTGCGGGGTGGGCTGGTAGGAATAATACTTAGTACCGGTACAGAGATATCGACCGGGTATAGAGGAGTTAAAGAAAAAATTACTGTATTCTAGTGTAACGTTAATTAAAAGTGTTTGTTTTGACAAGAAACGCTGTGAGATTTAAAGACTCGTAGTCTTTCATTTCCAACACCACCCTCAACACCACCCCTCCCACGGACGGACGGACACATTAATCTATTGGTGGTCTGGTCCACTTCATTCCTACCAGTATTAGTTTAATACGTAGTAGGCTTTCGCGACCAATATCATCCATAATGTTGTTTTTTTTTATTTGGGGGGGGGGGTTAGATAGCGTAAATGTGTCGTTAAACCCGCCACCACCCGACACAGCGTGACCAGAACGTGGCCAATTCGTGAGTCGTACAGCAACACCGGTGTGCTGGAGAGCGAATCCACAACAATATGATGCGTCTTCTTGGTTCTTTCGGTAAAGTCACGGAGAAGGGAAGTAATCAAATAATAAAAATAAAACATAATAAAATAATTCTCACAATGTTTTATTTTTATTATTTTAACTAGGCCTCAGTAACTTTAAAGTGACTAATACAGTTTATAAACTACTGATTATAGCGCGCGCCTGTCGTTAAAATGTAACTCTTACACGCGGCTACTCGCGTTAATGTTAAAAGTGCAATTTATTTTTTTATAAACAAATTAAAATAAACGCTTAATATACCTTGCCACGCAAAAGCCTAAGGCTGTATACGAGGCGCTGAATGACTAGGCCTCAGTAACTTTAAAGTGACTAATACAGTTTATAAACTACTGATTATAGCGCGCGCCTGTCGTTAAAATGTAACTCTTACACGCGGCTACTCGCGTTAATGTTAAAAGTGCAATTTATTTTTTATAAACAAATTAAAATAAACGCTTAATATACCTTGCCACGCAAAGGCCTAAGGCTGTATACGAGGCGCTAACGGACTAGGCCTCAGTAACTTAAAAGTGACAAATAAAGTTAATAAACCACTCATTATAGTGCGCGCGTCTCGTTAAAATGTAACTCTTACACGCGGCTACTCACGTTAATGTTAAAAGTGCAATTAACTTTTTATAAACATTAAAATAAACGCTTAATATACCTTGCCACGCAAAGGCCTAAGGCTGTATACGAGGCGCTGAATGACTAGGCCTCAGTAACTTTAAAGTGACTAATACAGTTTATAAACTACTGATTATAGCGCGCGCCTGTCGTTAAAATGTAACTCTTACACGCGGCTACTCGCGTTAATGTTAAAAGTGCAATTAATTTTTTATAAACATATTAAAATTAACGCTTAATATACCTTGCCACGCAAAAGCCTAAGGCTGTATACGAGGCGCTAACGGACTAGGCCTCAGTAACATTATAGTTGCGCGCGTCTCGTTAAAATGTAACTCTTACACGCGGCTACTCACGTTAATGTTAACGAAACGCGCGCACTTTATTTAATTTCAAGGTTTTAATCAAAAGCTATCTCAGGGAATAAGGGAATGTTACACGTGTCATGCCAAGTGTTTGCAGTAGGGGGCGATGTTGCTACCAGGATAGCGTCACTGAGTCTAAAGGTTTTTGTAGGGTCATGCCAAGTGTTTGCAGTAGGGGGCGATGTTGATACACGGAGGGACGGACGGACGGACGGACGGACAGTCGGACGGACGGACAGTCGGACGGACGGACGGACGGACACATTAATCTATTGGTGGTCTGGTCCACTTCGTTCCTACCAGTATAAACTTTATTTTATAAAGCGCCTTTCGTATCTCAAAGCGCTGTACATAAAAATAGAACAACACTCACAAACATAGCTCAAATGTAAGCAAAATAGAAAGCTTATAACTATTAATATGAATTACTCGCCGTGATTTTGGGGTCGCATTATTACCGCTTAATTTTAAATGTTTCTCATTTTCCCCCGTCTCATTTGAAACTGTTTTGTTTGCCTAAACGCAACGGTTGCACACGTGGCCAGGCCGAAGTGAGTGAGCGAGCGTGTGAGCGAGGGTTGAGAGTGAAGACTCTTTGCCGTTCACAGGGACTGGATGAACTCCAGAGCTTTGAGCTGCTGCACAACTTCCTGCAGGAGGACTACCGCGCCGCCCAGGAGCAGCTCAAGGTGGGGCCACGCACCACTCGGTTGCACCTCTTCCATTGTTTCGTATACATTTATTTATTAGGTTTTTCATTATTATCTAGACATTTTTATTCTATTTCACACTCGCTTTACTACCCGGCTTCGCCCGAGACTTGGATTCTTGTCTTAGATTCATACACGGCCTACGCGGAGGGTTGGGGGGGGGGGATGCGTGACGTCAGCATGCACGCTGCGTGACGCTGCCGTATGCGGGTGACATCACAGATGTGACATCACCACTCACTTGCCGTGTAAAATATATCCATTATTGCGCCCCCCCCCCCCCCCCCAAAATACATTGTGTACAGTCTGGAAGCTACCCACATGCCAAATGTCAACTTTTTTTGCATGTTGGGAGTATGCTAAACATTTCGAACAGACACACAAATTAACAATTTTCCCTTTTCAAAATATAGATTATTATTACTCGCCACCCCCCCCCCCCCCCAAACACAACGTGAGCCCGGCACGCTAACGCCCCACACCTTGAAAGGGAACAGAAACCCCCGCGAGCGGCAAATTAAAATTCGGCGCGGCAGGGAACCACCCAGGCAGGGGGGGGGGGGGGAGGAATTGGGACCCTGCCGCCCTACGAGCGGGGGAGTATCGCTTCTTATTTTTATATAGGGAGGGGAAAACAAGGGGAAGAGGGACAACGGTAGGTGGGATAGGGGGGAGTGGTGCACCTCTACCTTAGCAGTGCTTCCCGTTTACGCTGCTTCTCTCTCGGGACTCCCCAACGCGGATCTGTCCAAGGTTCCCCTCTGCCGCGTGCCTTCTCGAGCGGCTGCCAAACCACGTATCGTCTTAGGGCGCTGTCTTCTCCGACGGCTCTGTTCTTCACCCGAGGACGGCTGCTCGTGTTGTGGCCGAGACGTCGTGAGAATTTCATTGTTTTATTTTTATTATTTAATTATTTCCCTTCTACGTGACTTTACCGAAACATCCAAGGATGTGAATCCCTGCAGTCACGAAAGCTTTAAATCGAAATTTCACGCCTCGTTTTTTTCCAGTCTTCCCGCTCGCAGTTCGTCCTCGCGTCTTGTCACTCGCAGCTGTTTCCTCGCATGCTCCCCATCGCAGCTCTTCTCCCGTCTTCTCTGTCACAATTCTTCCCCTCTCATCTTCTTTTTTACAAATCCCCCCTCTCAGCTTCTCTATCACAAATCTCCCCTCTCATCTTCTCTATCACAAATCCCCCCTCTAATCTTTCCACTCGTAACTATTCCCGAGTGTCTCACCGCTCGCAGCTATTCCCTAGCAAGAGCAAGTCATGAAGCCCCAAGTGTTTTCCCTTGACCCTTTGCTGCGGGAGAGTCTGTGCTTGTACTGAACTCACTCTCTTCCGTGCATCTGCCACAGGCTGTGCTGGAAGATGAGCGGCACTCGCAAGCGCTGATGGTGAAGGCAAGTTTCCGATTCACTCTATTAAAATGCTAAACTTTTAAAATTTTTACCGAGTAAGGCCCACTGAGCTGCATAGCTCTTTATCAGAAGCGACTTGGCCACAGATGATAGCTCAAATAAGTGGCTTATCGTGTGGTATTTTACAGCAGCCAAATACTCATGTTGCTAAATGTGGAGGGACCCGGAGAAAGATCCACACGGCCACTGGGAGAGAGAGAGCATGCAAACTGCTCCTGTATATCAGGCGAGGTATTCAACATCTCCTAGCCACTGTGATTATGATGAGAGAGAGAGACACCGAAAACTCCAAATATACAGCAGCAGGCGTCAGGGTTGGGATCGAAACCAGGACCTCTTGTACACCAGGTGAGGTAGTTAGAATCTCTTAGCCACCGTGATTATGATGAGAGAGAGAGACACCGCAAACTCCAAATATACAGCAGCAGGTATCAGGGTTGGGATCGAAACCAGGACCTCTTGTACACCAGGCGAGGTAGTTAACATCTCCTAGCCACCGTGATTATGATGAGAGAGAGACACCGCAAACTCCAAATATACAGCAGCAGGCGTCAGAGTCGGTAACGAAACCACGATCTCCTGTACACCAGGCGAGGTGGTTAGCATCTCCTAGCCACCGACATGCTTTTGTGGCGAATCGGGGTGTGTGCTGGCCGCTTGCGGAGCCACGGTTCGGCATCACGTCTGCTGGACGCTTGCGATCGCCCTGTTGCTGCCTTGCAGGTGCGCGAGTACTACTTTGAGGAGCGGCTGTCGCTGTTGCGCTGTGTGCTGCACCTGCTCACCTTCTTCCAGGATGAGAGGCACCCCTACCGGGTAAGCTTCTCCGGCTTGTCGTTGGGGCTACACCAGCGCTGCTGCTGCTGCTGAACGGTGGTTATTTACACAGAAGGATAAGGATTTGCCTGCGTTGGGTGCTTACACTTCTTTTCGTAACTCCAGAGCGAGCGCCGTTGCATAACGTCTCATCTCGGACGTTTCGTTGCCCTTGTTGCTGCATAGCCAAAGGGGGGGGGACCCCCAGTGGCAGCTGTCCCCGTGTGGTGCAAAGTGAGAGTGACACTGGCCAACAAGTGGGCATCAGCCTGCCATGTAGTTTATTTTTTCTTTCTTCCAATTGGCTTGCGAGATACAGAGTTGTGTTTTTTGTTTGCATTCTGACCGCAGGTATTGTGGTCAATGCAAACATGACTCCTTGTAAAAAAGGTGTCAATTTTGTTGCCAGATAAAAGGGTTAAAAACCAATTATCATATTTTGCTACTGGCAAAGGAGGTTCCAATGGTGAGAATTATTTTTTTAACTTGGAAAATTTGGACGGTGTCGCCCGGCACACACATGGCCTCCTACATTTTTATCGCGTGAAGTATTTTGAACGCCCACTGTGCAGTGGAGGGCACGTTTTAACGTATTGCCATTGGTGGTACAGCTGTGGTGCGCGGTATAAATGAAATTTCAAAAACATTTCCGCAACAATTATTTACGTTCCCGCGATTCGCAACCCCAGTCAGAAAATCTTGCGGGGTGGTGCGTCAAAATCAGTTCTCACGAGGTCGAAGCAGTCGGGAGACGGACGTTACGAGCAGCGAATGCGAAGCTTTGCAGTCTGTTGCCCCGTAGCAGCAGCCAGCCTGATGATGATCGGCTGGCTGCGTGTTCCAAAGGCTGATTTGACTCGTGGCCTGGACTTGGTCGGACAGTTCCTCGATTCAGACGGACCCAAATCAACGGTCAATATTGACCCGTTTGAGCAAGTCTCATTAGACTGCAAACTTGGCAACAGACTCAATTAAATACTGACAAACGGATTTGCTGATTCAAATTGTTGATTTAAGACTGTTTTACGAGGACCGGTGTGTTATGCTGCCAATACGTCCCTTCATGTTGAATTCGCTGCTATTATTACATTGTGCTGCACAGGGATGGATGCCACCAGCCGGTCCCCTGTGCAAAAGTGCACTTGGGCAGGACACGTCATGGCTGAAAGGAATTCACTTGTTAATAATAATGATGGGGCGGCAACTTAGGAGCGTACCGTGTTCCACCTCGGAGATGGAGCGACCAGATTATCCGGTGTGCAGTTTGCTCGGCGGATCGTTGGATCTGCGAAATCGTGAGAGCTGCCCGGTTGTTTGGTGTGATCACCCAGCAGCGGATAGACCGTGGCCGATGATGACGACGACGAATGATTGGACGCGTTGTTGTTGATGTTGTTGGTGTTGTTGTTGATGTTGTTGGTGTTGTTGTTGATGTTGTTGGTGTCACGGGCGCCGCAGGCCGTGTACGCCGACTGCCTGGAGCGCCTGCAGCAGAGCCTCACCTCGCGCCACGTGGAGCAGCTGGAGGAGCGACTCGGCTCCCGCTCGTCGCTCTGCCACTTCCACGGGAACATGGTGGGTTTGGGGGATGTATGACCGCGACTCGATTTCCACCACCGTACTTTAAACTGTAATTTTGTTATTTATTTTACCAGGTAAAGGCCCCACTGAGCCTACGTAGCTCTTTTTCAGGGAGCGACCCTTGGCTATCACAAATGGTAGCTCAGCGAAGTGGCTTATCGACGTGTGAAAAATTATAGCGGCCAAATACTCTCTATAAACGCGTGTTGTTGATTCTGAACGTCGGGGCTAAAAACCGGAGGACCCGGGGTATTGGCATGCAAACTCCACGTATATCGGCGTCGGGGTCGGGATCGAACGCACAATCCGCTGCATACCAGGCGAGGGAGTTAACATCTCGCCACTGAGCCAGCCCGGCACCGTTTGCCGAGCCCGCCCAGCGCCCCTCGGGAGCTGCCAGGGTTATTGAACTTCCACGGCGGAAGCCGTGCCGGGCGGCGGTTGGCGACGCTGCACGTGGCTGCCCGCAATCCGGAACCGGAGGCACCGAGGGTTGGTGGATCGGCAGTGGTTGCGAGATTCTCTTCCGGTGGGCATCGAAGGGAAGGGTGGGTGGCCTCACCCTGTTGTCGGCGCTCGTGCAGGCGGAGCGGCAGGCGGCGTGCTGGGCGCAGCAGTGCCTGCGCGAGCAGTGCCTGCTGCTGGAGCTGCTCTTCCTCTACTACGTCTACTTCGAGATGAAGCCGCACGCGCTGCTCCGCCTCGCGCGCCTCTTCCATGCGCAGAGTTTCGGCCTGCGCCAGCTACAGGGGCTGGAGGCGCCGCACGAGGGCAGCGCCATGCTCGTCAGCCGCGTCGGGTCAGTGGTCAACTCTGTGCGTGTCTGTGTGTGTGTGCGCAGTGGCACGCCGCTCCACCCCGTGTCTGTGTGTGTTCGTGAGCAGCACCTACGAAGGCTCACACGGCGAACGAGGGGTTTGGGTGGCTGGCACCACCACGGCCGGCAGGCTGCCTTTGTCTCCCCAGTGGCAATGTTTATTATTTGAGGCCAAGTCGACCAAGGGGGAAGGCTCAGAACGGGTTCAGATATTCGTCACCGATGTTGGCCGTGAGCGGGTATCGCTCGCGGTTGCACGGGTTGGAAGCCCCTCCGTTGAGCACGGTTGGCTAGGTACGGTGCAAAAGAAGTTCTACATCTCCATATATATAAAAGGCAACGTTGTGAATATGTGTGTCTGTTGAAAATGTTTAGCGTACTTCCCGACATGCAACAAACTGGAAATTTGCCATGTGGGTACTTTCCAGACTGTACACCATGCAAAAATTATAAAAATACACTTTTTTTTTTTGGGGGGGGGGAGAGCTCAATAATGCATATAGTTTTTGCACGGCAAGTAAGCTGTGACGTCAAATCTGTCATGTGACCCGCGCATGTGGAAGCGTAACGCATTGTAGTGTAGTGGTTAGCGCGCCGCGCTACGAACCCGGCGATCCGAGTTCGATTCCCGCTCACGGCCACCACCAGTGACGATTATTTTAACCGCTCCTGGGCCTCCACTAGGTCGACTTAGCCTCAAACGAGTAACTGCTGTGGTGTGTGAACATCGGCACTGGGGGGACAAAGGCGGCCGGGCGTGGTGAATCCAAGTCCCGGGCGAAGCCGGGTAGTAAAGCTAGTGTATATATATATATATATACACACGTAGCACAGCGCGCTAGCGACTACACTCCTGCTTTCCACACACGCATGCACACCTTGTGCCCACACTCGGTGCTTGATGGCCTTGTGTCCCCCCCCCCCCCCGTGTGTTGACAGGTACTTCTGTGCGCTTCTTCTCATCGAGGGCATGGACATCGAGTTCCTGGCCAAGTGCGCGCAGGGCGACTGCGTGGAGCAGCACCAACTGGTCAAGGACGAGGCCGTGTTCAAGGTGAGGCGCGGCGGCGGCGGTGGTGCCGATGTCGATGGTGGTGAAGTTATTGATAGTGGTGGTCCTGGGCCTCCCCTAGGTCGACTCGGCCTTAAATGAGTACCATGGTGCGGTGTGTAAACATCGCCGTTTGGGAGACAAAGTCGGCCGGGTGTGGTGCTGTTGCCGGCCTTTATCGGCGCTACTCGCTCACACCGCTTGATAGTTGGTGGTGCAGCGTAAAATGATGACTTTCTGTAATTTGATTAATGATGGTAGCGGAAACTTGCCCCTACAGTTTGTTGAGGCTACACGGGGGCTCTTTGTCTTGTTCTATTGTGTGGTCCTGCTCTTTAAGAGAGTGGAGGAGTTCCTATATCTGAGCAGTGTGTGAATGACTATTTCCGGTTTGGCAGCAGAGGTCTCGCTCCAAATCGGTTAGAGCGGCATTTATCTTTTCAGCAGCTGCTTAACGCTCTGTGGAAGCTGCCTGGCCTGTCGCTCCACACAAAGCTCCGGGTCTTCTCGGCCGCAGGCGCTACTCGCTAACAGCACTTGCTCCAACAGTGTCTTTGTGCATGCGGTAGTGCACCAGTACGAACCCAGAGACACGAGTTCGATTCCCACTCATGGTTAACACCAGTGACGATTGTTTAAACCGGTCCTGGGCCTTCCCTAGATCGACTCGGCCTCAAATGCGTACCTGGTGCATGGTATACGCATCGCTATTGGGGAGACAAAGGCGGCCGTGCATGGTTATGGCCACCTACCCCATTCCGGCCTTCATAGGTGCTCGCAAACAGCACTTGAAAGTGGTGGTGCCGAGTTAAACGAGGACTTGCCGCATTGCTGTGAATAATGGTCGCGGTGGAAGTGCTAATAATGACGACGCCGATGACGCCATTGCTGCCGTGGGCTCCGTGGGCTGCCAGGAGCTGGACCAGCTGCTGCAGAGCCTCGGCGACCTGGAGATTCACGGCCCCGTGCTGCTCGCGTGGGCCATGCTGCGCTACAAGGCGCTGCCGGACGACCCCAAGTCAGCGACCCGCCGCCTGGGCCGCTCCGCCGTGCAGCTGCAGGCGTTCCGCCTCGTGTGCCGCCTGCTGCGGGCGCCCGGCTTCAGCGGCAGCAGCGTGAGCACCGCGCACTCTCTGTCGTCTTCCTGTCTTGTGTCGATTTACGTAGCGGCGCCGTTGTAGCGCGTGAGATCGTAGTGGTTGAGATACAGAGTGGGGTTGTAGTTATGGTGACAGGAGGACAGGTGGGAGTGGTTACGGAGGGGTGTTGGGGTAGTGATACGGGTTGGGGTAGTGATATGGATGTGATAGGGGTGAGGATAGTGATAGGGGTAGCCGTTGAGGTAGGCCTTGTCGTAGCTGGCGGGCGTGGGCAGGGAGTTAGCAGTGGGGGTAGTGGTAGCGGTTGGGGGAAGGGTGCTTGTAACTAAGGGGGGGGGTTAGGGAGTAGCAGGAGTAGGTTGGGCAAGGGGAGAAGATATGGGAATTCATGTAACGGAGGAACAGAAGCAAGTTAGCGAAGATGGTTGCTCTGTGTGCTGCAGGGGGAGTTTGTTCAGTGGAGGGGAGCGAGATGGGAGAAGGAGCGAGAGAGCGAGACTGGGCGCAGGGTGGCGAGGGAGGCACACGGAGAGCGACGGTGGAGACTTGGAGCGTGGAGGATGCAATGGAGCAAGTAGTGAGAGATGAGAGAAGTGAGATCAGGTGTAAACAGGGATACATTCACTCTTCAAGGAAGATAAATTTGGAGGGCGTGGGGTTTAGTTATTTAAATGGATATACCGGTGCACTCTTCTCCCCCGAGTTAACACGGAATTCGGGACGACGCGCTGTTAACCTTTTCCCATTCCGATGATGTACATCATCAGTTTTTAATTCTGATTCGGAAAGAACATTTTCATTGGAACAACTTCATCTCTACCGAGGCTCCCCGACAAGGCCGTGGCGCAGTGTTGGTGCCGGCAATCGTAGAGTGCGGCGGTCGTGCCGCTGCGGTTCTCTACTGCGATCAGCGACGTCCTTTGAAAACAACGACGCCAACGACCGCGCCTCTCTAAATAAAACCAACGGCCGAGCCGCCGCTCGCACGTTCGTGAGATTCGGCGGTGAACGATGACTCCCCGCGACTCGCGAACGTCTCGGAACGATGCAAAGGGTTAACGGCTGCGATGGTGCGAGCGGCGAGAATCACCGCCGGCTGTCTGTCTCTGTCTGTCCCGCGCGCAGTGCACGTCCAGCACAGCGCGCGCGGTCGTCTACGGCCTGCTGTCCTTCGTGCTCGGCCTCTTCGACGAGGGCACGCTAGGAGAGCCCCAGGTGAGGAGCGCCACTCTGCAAACGCGCGCACACACGCACGGGTCCACAGCCCAGTGTCTCTGACCTCTGACCTCTAGCTCAGTGTCTCTGACCCCTGACCTCTAGCTCAGTGTCTCTGAACCCTGAGCCACAGCTCAGTGTCTCTGACCCACACCTCAGTGTCTCTGACCTCTGACCCACAGCTCAGTGTCTCTGACCCCTGACCCACAGCTCAGCGTCTCTGACCCACAGCTCAGTGTCTCTGACCCCTGAGTCACAGCTCAGTGTCTCTGACCTCTGAGCCACCCAGCCACCTACCAGAATGATGTTCCTTGTTGCTCGCAGGACTTGATGGACGTGGCGTGCGAGGTGCTGAGCATGCCTGCTCTCGCCGAGGCCTTCTGGGACGCTGTGAGTGCCCCACTGCCCCCTACGGCAGCCACACTCTCCATACTCACGTTACGCACTCACTCGAGCCTACATAACCACACCGCACCACCCTGTACCACCATATACACCCACACCAGCATGCAGTGCGATAGGTTGCCACACCGCAGTATAGCAACATGATAGCCGTGCTAAATTGTCCTTCCGTACTATTGCATTACGATTGTATTGCCTTTGCCGTGGTCTTATGTTGCCCTGGGGTTGTCTTGCCTTACTGTCTTCACTGTGGTGTTGTCTTGCCATGGTGTTGCCCTGCCACGGTGTTGTCTTACCGTTGTTATTGTCCTACCGTGGCGCTGTCCTGCCGTGGTTACATCCTTGCCGTGCTGCTTCTCAGGGCCTGGCGGGAGGTCTGGCCATGCTGCTGGACTCGGCTGCGGCGCAGTTCCCGTACGCGTGCGCGCCGCTGCTGCAGCTGCTCACGGCCACCGTGGTCAGCCAGGCCACGGCCAAGCGGGTGGGTGGGTGTGAGCGAGGCCTGTAACGATCTGCGTTGTATGTGTGAATTCACGCATTGAAAACATGATTACTTTTACTGACAGATAGCGATAGTTTGTTCATGTCTTTGGCATTGGAGGGGTGAATCCGGGTAATTGTTGTTCATGGCTTTGTATGTATCTATGTTCAACTTCATTTTGCATCATACGTAGGCAACCCTGCTGAGCGTAGATGCGTGGGCAAGGACACAAGAAGCAATTATAAAGAAATGAGTGTTCAATCTAGATGATTTAAAATGCGTAGCTCCAGTGGCTTCCTAATATCGGAAGGAAGAGTGCGTTCCAGACGGCCACAGAAGAGCATCTGAAAGCGACCACCTGCATACGAGGCGAGGTAGTTGACATCTCGCCGACCACGGCGCGACGTTGCCCTGCACGCAGGTCTACAACTTCCTGGACAAGATGACTTGCTACGCCGAGGCCGTGCCGCAGAGGCCACGCGACATCGAGGCGTCCGAAGACGGAACCATGTGGAGAACGACGGCACCCAGGCACCTCTACCCGTTCGGTGAGCACTCTGGACCCCCCCCCCCCCCCTTACTGAGACACCTGGACGTGGTGGTGTGGTGGTGTAGTGGTGAAAGATCTGGACAAAGTCCCATCGGTGAGCTCCTCCGGCAGGGATGGCTGCGTTGGCTGGGTCATGTTGTGGAGCTGTTAGACCATGTTTTGTGGTGAAGGTGGTGGTGGTGGAGCTGGTTAGACCATGTTTGGTGGTGGTGTGGTTAGACCATGTTTGGTGGTAATGGTGGTGGTGGTGCTGCGATCAGACCATCCATTTATTGATGATGGTGGAGGTGGCACGGTAAGGCCATAGTTGTCTTAATAGCTCATCGGATTCCTCCAGTATCAATGAATACATATTCCGTAAGGCCAACGTGTTGAAGCGCTGACGACGCGGTGTACCGTTGCGTAGGCGCGGGGAGGACCACCATGCGGCTGCCGCAGGGCGTGGTGGGACGCGTGCTGCCCCTGGGCCCAACCGTGCCGGGCGGCCCCTCCGCCCTGGTGCACTGGGAGTTTGGCTACAGCGCGTGGGCGCTGTTCGCCTGCGAGGTGGAGATGCTGCTGCACGTGGTGTCCACCGCCGGTGAGTGATCATCCTCCTCTGTCGGCGTGGCGGATTGGAAGGGCTTGGCTACAGCTGGTGCCGATCCCATGCCATTTATATGCAATGAAACCTCGAGTTTGCCGGAATTGGAGGTCAGCTTTTTGTGTTTAGTTTGTTGTCCTTCCCCCCCCCCGCACCTCCGATTAGCACGGTTGGATACGTACAGTGCGAAAGAAGTTGAACGCGCATGAGAATGTTACTGGACATTTGCGTGAATACATTCCTGCTAAACCCCCAATGTTTGATTGTTCTATTTCAATTAAAACATTTTAATAAATACATGTTGGAAGCAGTTCATATTTCGATGGTATCATGTGGTAATGCTCCATCACATGTTTTAAATCTATTACACAGTGAATATTGAACTGAAGCTTGACTTTAAAACAATTTAATCGCAAATCAAATCGCAATATCTGTCAAATCGTTCAGCCCTAATATTTACTGAGTGTGTACAGACTGAGAGCCATAGATTGGATTGTAATTGACATTTGCTTGTGCCGGCTTTCAGGCCACACTCCAGATCATAAGCCAACAGACCCCCAACATCATCTACTGTATAATAATTCCGAAATATATGCAAATTATAATTGGGAGAATGGGGGTGTTATACCGATGACAGATGTGGTGGTGGTGGTGGTGGGGAGCTGGTTGCGTAGCGGTTAGTGACGATTATCCGAACCCGTCCTGGGCCTCCTCTAGGTCGACTCAGCCTCAAGTGAGTACCTGATGCGGTGTATAAACATCGCCACTGGGGAGACCAAAGCGAACCGGGCGAGCCGTCGTCGGCCTTGACGGGCGCTGCTCGCTAACAGCTCTCGCCCTGACGGTCTGTTAAGGCTTACACGGCAGAGGTCGCAACCGGGTACCCGATACCCTACTCGATACCCGGCTACCCGTACCCGGTCAGGTATGGGTAGCCGTTTGCAACCCGTACCCGGCCGGGTACGGGTAGCCGTTTGCGACCCTGGTGCAGCCGGGTACGGGTAGGCCGTGAGTCACTGGTGAGTAACCGTTTGTCACTCATTTCCGGTAGGGTACGGGTACGGGTAGGGAACGGGTACCCGTACCCGGCCGGGTACGGGTACCCATTTGCGACCCTTGTGCGGCCGGGTACGGGTACGGGTAAGGAATCAAAACCCGTTTGCGACCTCTGTTACACGGGGGATCTTTGTCTTTGGTGGGCTCGCGACTTGTGCAGACGTGGCGCGGCACTGCGAGCGCGTGCGTCCCATCGTGCAGCTGGTGCGGCAGCTGCTGGACGCCGACGGCTCGCTCGCCGCGCCGCTGCTTCCCGTCACCTCCCGCCTCTACATGGTGCTGCAGAGGTGAGGACGCCTCCTGCGGACGACGACGACGATAACTGCAGCCACCATTCACCGCTTAAGTGGCGGTGGACGTCACCACAGCAGCGCTTTGTGCCAGGCTATGTTTTTAGGTTGAAATATTTTTGTGATGTACGTAGCCAGCCGTGTTTGTCCGAGGTGCCGGGAAGGACAACAAACTGAACACAAAAAGCTATTCTGAAGAAATGAGTTTTCAATAATGCTGATAAATAGCAAATCACATTTTAGACGTATTCTTTGGTACTAAAGTCACATAGATAGGCAAAAAAAATAAAAATCAACAAGAAACTACGACGTTTCGATTGCAACGCAAGCAATTGTCATTATCGTCATCATGACGATGGCTTGTGTTGCGGTCGTAACGTCGTAGTTTTTTGTTTATTTTATTATTTTTTAACCTATTTATGTGACTACCGAACGAAAGCTTTAAGTCAAGATTCACATTTCAGACATTTCACCAATTTGTCTAAATTAGTCATCATTTCTTCTTGGTTCTTTCGGTAAAGTAACGTAGAAGGAAAATAATCAAAAAACATTTATTTTATTATTTCCCTTCTACGTGACTTTCCCGAAAGAACCAAGAAGATGAATCCCTGCAGTCACGAAAGCTTTAAATCGAAACTTAGTCATAGATTTTTTGACCACTTCCCCACCTGCGAAGCCGGGACTCTGGTCTAGGTTGTGGAGACCTAATTGACTCGTCTCTCTGTTATAACCTTTTATTTTATTGTTGTGCGTTCGTGCTCCTTTTATTTTCGTGCCATTTCTCCATTTGTTTATTCATTTTTATTATCAGAGGGTTTTCATTTTGCTCCGTAGTCGTTGTAAGAAATAGGATTTGGCACTCGTATATATTTCTAGACTTGAAGCTTTCGTGACTGCAAGGAATCATATTCTTAGTTGTTTTCGGTAAAGTTACGTAGGTAAAACATCAAAATTAATAAAAATAATAAAATAAAATAAAGATCACGACGTTTCGGAGGCAACACAAGTCTCCGTCATCAGGTGGGACAGTCACAGCCAGATTAGCTGCATCAAGTGAGGCAATGATTCAAGATGTAATCCCTTAAAAGCGAGTTGAGGGGGGAGGAGAGGGGGGGGGCTCATCAGAATGTGGTAGCCAATGAATGGAAAGTATCGGGAGAGAGGGGCCAAAAAAGGGTGGGCGACGGCGTGGAAGCTATTGTGCGCAAGCGACACACTGCTGCCCACGCCAACGCATTGGACAGAGAGGGGGGGGAGGGGGAGGTCTGATACACATGGAAAGATGTTATTAACCACGCAAAAAAGACTTAATTACACTTTTTTGACCATCTTATCTGACAGGCACTAGTTTACTTTACTTGACCGAGTGTTAACATCCCCAGTGTTTAACAGTAATCTCTTCATTGTTCAGCCAGCATTGGTATAAACGTACGCATTTTCTTTTCTTTTCTATCATGTGTATCAGACCTCCCCCTCCCCCCCTCTCTGTCCAATGCGTTGGCGTGGGCAGCAGTGTGTCGCTTGCGCACAATAGCTTCCACGCCGTCGCCCACCCTTTTTTGGCCCCTCTCTCCTGATACTTTCCATTCATTGGCTACCACATTCTGATGAGCCCCCCCCCCCCTCTCCTCCCCCCTCAACTCGCTTTTAAGGGATTACATCTTGAATCATTGCCTCACTTGATGCAGCTAATCTGGCTGTGACTGTCCCACCTGATGACGGAGACTTGTGTTGCCTCCGAAACGTCGTGATCTTTATTTTATTTTATTATTTTTATAAATTTTGATGTTTTACCTACGTGACTTTACCGAAAACACCTAAGAATATCACTCGTATATTATTAATGTGCAGCGTTGTGGGATGTAATTATGACGCTATATAAAATGAAATTGTTATTCTGTAATCACGTATTGTGCGACTGACAGCATACGCGTGATAAGAGCTGTGTATAGATTTTAACGGCATGGTGAGCAGACGACTGACTTATCCTGGGTGAGCTGTAGTTAAAGGCTCTTCATCTGCCTTCGTACTGAACGTGTGCAGCAAAGCACCAAACACAGGACGACAAACACACTCGGTACAATCGACATCGCGATAATCGTCATCACATTGTGAAAATTTTACGTATCGTATCGAGAAAATTGTTATTTTTGAGTGCGTGTTCGTGTACCCCCGTGTCCCCATGTCTCCTCCATGCGCGCAGGCTCACGTGTGTACCCAGCCCGCCGCTCGACGTCATCGCGGCGTGCGTGAACTGCCTGGCGGCGCTCGTGCCTTATGGTGCCGCCAAGGTGTGTGCGCCGCTCATGAAACGTGGGCCCTCTGGCCCTCACGGAGTTCGTGAAACGTGGGCCCTCTGGCCTTAATGGAGTTCGTTAAACGTGGGCCCTCTTCCTGTAATGGAGTTGGTGAAACGTGGGCCTTTTGGCGCTAACGGAGTTCGTGAAACATGGGCCTTCTGGCCCTCACGGACAAAGTGAAACATGGGCCCTCTTGATTTGAAGCTTTCGTGACTGCAGGAAATCCATACTCTTTGGTTCTTTCGGTAAAGTCACGTAGGTATAAAATAAAATACCTACGTGACTTTACCGAAAGAACCAAAGAGTATGGGCTCTCTTGTCCTCACGGAGAATGTGTAACGTGGGCCCTATTGCTCTAATTGAGACTGTGAAACGTGGGCCTTCTGGCCCTAACGGAGATTGTGAAATGTGGGCCCTCTTACCGTAACGGAGGTCATGAAACGTGGGCCCCTCTCGACCTTACGGGGATCGTAAAACTATTGTGAAACATGAGCCCTCTGTTTAACACACGTAGGCTTTCGCGACCAATATTCTTCATAATAAAGGCCAAACGTGACACATTTTTTACTGTTTGGCCGTGTCGGGTGGTGGAGGGTTACGACACATAAATAACGTGATCTAACCCAAAAACCATTATGAATGACCCATCTGGTTCCGAACGGAGGTCGTAAAACGTGGGACACTTGCCGTAACGTCGTCAACCTGTGTCCCGTGGTGCGGTGGCCTCGGCGCAGGTGTGGAGCGACGTGCAGCACACGGGGCTCCTTCCCTTCACCGTGTCCCCCGTGAGCAACGCCGCACGGGCAGCCAGGTACCCTCTCCGTCGTGCCTCTCGCACTCCGTTCCTCTTCGGCAACACACAAAGCACGTTTCATCACGTCTCGGCGCAACCCAATTACAGTGTCCCGCTTGGGTCTAGTCAAGGGGACCCCTAGCAGCAGCTGTCGCTGCGTGGCTCAAGGTGTACGCAGCCACCGGTCTGCTTCCCGGCATTAGTCTTATAGGAGGGACGATATTGCCACGTGTGGGTTTTTTTTTTCTCAATTAAATCTCTATTCGTCTATGTTTTTTAACCTTATTCTTGGTTCTTACGGTAAAGTCACTTAGAAGGGAAACAGTAAAATAATGCAAATTTAAAACAATGAAATTGTCACGACGTTTCGAATGCAACACAAGCAGGTGTGAAAAAACACGGCAAGAAAATTTGAAAAAAGTGGCGTTTTTTTCTTAACGTTAGCACCACGGACAGCGATTTTGGCAGTTCAGATGGACGAGTCCATCCTTCTACGTGACTTTACCGAAAGAACCAAGAATATGAATCCCTGCAATCACGAAAGCTTTAAATCAAAATCTTTTAACCTTCTCGGCTGTAAAACAGGCCACCGTAGTGCAGTGGTGTCGGCAGGGTCCCGCAGAGAGCGGTGGATGTGTGAATGACGGACGGATGGCTGCCTGGCAAGCTCAGAGTGTGCACATGTGTACTCGTGTATGTGGTTAGCGGTTCGCGTGCTGTGCTACGAACCCGGCCACCTGAGTTCGATACCCACTCGGGGCCAAAATCCTTTGACGATTATTTAAACCGGTCTTGGGCCTTTCCGAGGTCGACTCAGCCTCAAATGAGTACCTGATGTGGTGCATAAACATCGCCACTTGGGGAGACAAAAGCGGCCGGGCTTGGTGCTGGCCACCCACCCCCTCGTGTGCCGTGCCAGCCTTTATAGGTGCTACTCGCTAACAGCACTTGCCCCAACAATCTGTTAAGGCTATCCCGGGGATTTTTGTCTTTGGAGGGAGCAGTCGGTGATCTCGGTCAGTTTACCCATAACACCTGGGTCAGTCCCGTGACTTGTCAGCGAGCCCTCTACACTCCTCCCATAGCACCTCGGAGTGCATCTGGGCGCGGTGGTGACGTCACCGCTGCTTACGTGGCGAATGGCGGCTGTTGTTGTTATTGTTGGGGAGAGGTAGCGCAGTGGTTAGCACACCGCGGTACAATCCCAGTCCCCCCGGGTTAAATTCACGGCGACAACGTACGTCCGAGCGCCTGATGCTGGGCGGTAAACATCAGCGCTGGGGAGACAAAGGCGGTCAAGCGTGCTACTCAGGTGTAATAGGTCACACCTGGGTAAGGGCACTTGCTGCAACAGTCTACCGCACGTGGGCGCTGGGCGCACAGCACTCGCGCCCATCGCGGCTCTGGCACGGTGGAGAGATGTTAACTACCTCGCCCGGTATACAGGAGTTCGTATGTTCGATCCCGACCCTGACGTATTTTTGGGGGGATCTGCGTTGCCTTCGTCTGTGCGACTCAGCGGGGAGGGCATGCACGCGGGAAACTACGGGAATCTGCTCGTCGGCTTCGAGAGGCACCGGGGCGATTTCCGCGTGACGGCGTCGTACCTCCGTCTCGTCACCGCCCTCCTGAAGGTCACGCCACCACCATCCCTCCCGCTCGCTACTGACAGCCTGCTCCCCTGACTCGCCCTGCTCCCCCCTCACCGCTCCCCTCCCACCGCTCCCCTCCCACCGCTCCCCTCCCCCCGCTCCCCTCTCACCGCTCCTCGCCCACCGCTCCCCTCCCACCGCTCCCCTCCCACCGCTCCCCTCCCACCGCTCCCCTCCCACCGCTCCCCTCCCACCGCTCCTCGCCCACCGCTCCCCTCCCATCGCTCCCCTCCCACCGCTCCCCTCCCACCGCTCCCCTCCCACCGCGCCCCTCCCACCGCTCCCCTCCCACCGCTCCCCTCCCATCTCTCCCCTCCCACCGCTCCCCTCCCACCGCGCCCCTCCCACCGCTCCCCTCCCACCGCTCCCCTCCCACCGCTCCCTTCCCACCGCTCCCCTCCCATCGCTCCCCTCCCACCGCTCCCCTCCCACCGCTCCCCTCCCACAGCTCCCCTCCCACCGCTCCCCTCCCACCGCGCCCCTCCCACCGCTCCCCTCCCACCGCTCCCCTCCCACCGCTCCCCTCCCACCGCTCCCCTATCACCGCGCCCCTCTTGTGCCCTCGCCCCCCCCCCAACGTGTGACCTCCTCCCCCCCCCGCTCCCCTCCCTGTGTGTCCCCCCGGCTGTGACGTGCGCAGGGCCTGGTGGGGAGCAGCCAGTACCCGAGCCTGCTGCCCTGCCTCGTCTTCACGCTCAAGGAGATCCTGGCGCGGTACCGCACGTGGGCGCTGGGCGGCGCCGACGGGCACCGCGAGTGCATCGGTCGGTTTCCCCCGCGCACCGCACTCGCGCCCATCGCGGCTCTGGCACGGTGCCGAGATGTTAACTACCTCGCGTGGGATACAGGAGGTCGTATGTTCGGTCCCGATCCCGACGTATATTTTTTTTTCGCGTGGAATTTTTTCTCCGCGCCCTCCGTTTTTTTTTCCCTCCACATTTAGAATCGACGTGCGTTTATATGTAGCTGCTCCTAGAAATGTCCACGCGATGATAAGCTGCTTCGTTCAGCTCTCATGTCCGGTCAGGTCGCTTCTGAAAAAGAGCTATATCGCTCAGTGGGCCTTGTCTGGTAAAATAAAATTGATCTCTGGCACGTTAGAAGGTCGCACTCATCATTTGTGGCAAGCGCTTAATGCTCTTCCGGTATTAGGAAACGCACACCCCCCCCTACACCTCCGACTACAACGGTTGGCTACGTATTGTGCGAAAGAAGTTCAACATACGTATGTAGACATACGTACGGTCAACCCATGGCACCTGGGTCTATCCCGTGACTTCCTGCCAAGCGGGCCTTCGACACTTCGCGTGGCCTCAAAATTGCAGCGAATGTGGCACAGACGCCGCGGGTGACGTCACCGCCGATTGGTGGTGAACGGCGGCGGTGGTTGTTGTTGTCTTCGTCGTCATAATGAGTTCACGTTTATTTGATTTGTTACACGGAATCGTCTGTGCTGTGTCTGTAGGAAAGTTGATGCTGGAGCAGATCCACTTTGTGCTCAACATCAGCGTCGACAGTGGCAGGTACGGCCACACAGCCGGAACTAGCAGGGCCACCCCGTGGCCTGCTGTCGTCTCTTCTGTCTTAACACTTTTCAACTTAGCTTGGCCGCACTAACGGCGTCATGCGCCGTCCCTTAACAGCTGCTCGCGAACGGCACTTGTCACATCCGTCTTTGCGGGAGGCACGGCGGTGGTAAGCAGCGGTAAAGACGGTCGTGATGGTGGCCACGGTGGTAACGGTATTGGTGATGGGGAGCGGTGGCGCAGCGGTTAGTGCGCTGCGCAACGGACCAGACGACCCGAGTTCGATTTCCCGCTCACGGCCAACACCAGCGGTGATTATCTGAACCATTACTGGGCCTCCCCTAGGTTGACTCAACCTCAAATGAGTACCCGGTGTGATCTGTGAGCATCGCCACTTGTGTGCTGTGTACCGGCCTTCGGAGGTGCTGCTCACTAACAGCACTTGCCCCAACAGTCTACATGGGATACACGGGGGGGGGGGGGGGGTATTTGTCGTTGGTGCTGGTGGTGGCACACAATGGAAAGACATTTCTACACACGTGACTTTACCGAAAGAACCAATGAGTATCGTAAATCCTGCAGTCACGAAAGCTTCAATCCTAGATTAATGGTAAGATGGTCATTACATTGGGCATGGTGGTTAATCTGTTGGTAATGATAGTGGTGTTGGTAATGGTGGTGGTATTGGTATTGGTGAAAGTATTCGTGATGAGGATGGTGGCGGTAGTTGCAGTGGGGAGATTTTTGGTGATGTTCGTAATTTTGTGAAAGTAAGGGTGGTGCTGTTGGTCGTGATGATGATAGTGTGGGGAGCGGTGGCGTGGCGGTTAGCGCTCTCCGCCACGAACCTGGCGAATCGAATTCGTTTCCGCACACGGCCCACACTGGTGACGATTATCTGAACCGGTCCTGGATCTCCCCTAGGTGTACTCGACCTCAAATAAGTACCCAGTGTCCTGTGTGAACAACGCCTCTCGGTAGAAGAAGGTCGCCGGGCGTGGTGCAGCATCATATGCCACAGTGTCGGCCTTCATAGGCACCGATACTCGCTAGCAGCACTTTCCCCAGCAGGCCATGAAGACTACACAGAGGGGGGATCTTTATCTTTGACGATGATGCTGATTCTAGATTTGAAGCTTTCGTGACTGCAAGGTTTCATACTCTTATTCATACTCTTATTTCTATTATTTTATTTATTTTATTTTTGACTTACGTGACTTTACCGAAAACAACCTAAGAGGATGATGTTGATGTTGACGTTGTGCGCAGGGGTCCCAGCCTGCAGGCCGTGTGTCTGCACAGCCTCCTGCACGGCGAGTCCGGCCTGGCCCTCATCCACATGCTGTCCATCGGCGTGGGCGCCATCGACACCGTCCTGGCCGCCCAGCCCGGCCGGTACGCAAACTGCACTCGGCCACGGCCGGCGCCACGCCAGCGCGCACACCTTGATGACGTGTCAAAGGTCACAAACGCCGTCCGGTTACATCTTGGGAGAGGCGGAGAGCATCCAAACTCTCTGCTACCGCCACACCGCGACCTGCCCACCAACTGACCGCGTGCGGTGTGCCGCATTTGTGCTGCTGGGTGGACGTGGGCGGAGAGGGATTCGAGAAACTTGAACCGTTGCTTTGTTGGGTTTAAAAACTGGCCACCCCTGGATTGTGCGCCCACGCTTACAACATTGCAGATTCTTTAAACATCCCCAGTAATTTGTGAGATGCAGTCCATTCACCTACATTCTACCGGGGACAGTCGGACATCCCACTGCCTCTCACTAGCAGTCCCATGGCTCACGGACTTTTAATGGGTCCTATGGGGACCGAGGATTGCGTGGGGTCTTCTCTCGGGGGGAAGAGAGTAATTAATTCGTTTTAAAAGCTTTTCCAATATCCCTCTCTTCCCAGACAGCCTGACCACATGACAGAGTCACTCTCGCTCCATCCCACTCCCCCATCAACGCCCTCCCTCCCTCCCCTCCCTCCCTCCCCATCATCGCCCTCCCTTCCTCTCCTCCCAACACAACTCCACTTCCCCATAACCGCTCGCAGTCCCCTCTCTAGCTTTGTTGAGGAAGACCACCACGCCCAGGAGTCGTACCTGTTGCCCAAAAGAGCAAGAGGATGTGATGGGGGGTGGTGGGGGGGGATGAGACTCGAATTTTCGAACCGTGGTGTCCGTCGCAGAGTTCTGGAGGGACCGGCGCTCACGCTTATCCAGACCATGAAGCTGGCATTCTCCGTCATCAACAACACGCTGAGGCTCAAGCCGGCGTCGGACGAGCTCACGCCGCTGGAGCACGCGCTCACTCAGCAGGGTGAGCGGTCGCGTCGTCGCAACGTCACGCGGCCACCCAGCCGGCGATCGTTTGGGCTGCGTCGTTTATCTCAGTCGTAGTCCTCGTATATATCTATATATAAACGGGAAATGTGTGAATGTGCGTCTGTTCTAAATGTTTAGCGTACTTCTCAACATGCAACAAACTTGAAATTTGGCATGTGGGTAGCTTCCAGACTGTACACAATGCAAAACTTATAAAATAGACTTTTGTATTTTGGGGGGGGAGGGAGTGCAATAATGGATGTATTTTGCACGACAAGTGAGCGGTGACGTCACATCTGTGATGTCACCCGCATGCGGCAGCGTCACGCAGTGTGCCTGCTGACGTCACGCATCCCCCGCCCCACCCTCCGTGTAGGCCGTGTATTAATCCAAGACAAGAATCCAAGTCTCGGGCGAAGCCGGGTGGTAAAGCTAGTATATTTATAAATGTTTTTTACCAGGTATGGCTCCCACTGAGCTGCTATGTAGCTTTTTTTCAGAAACAACCCTGGCTATCGCAAATGATAGCTCAATGACGATGGCTTATCATCATCATCGTCGTCGTCACGTGAAACTTTCTACCAGCAGCGAAGTACTCGAAACGAGCGACGTTGATTCTAAATGTGGAGGGGAAAAACACCGGAGGACCCGGAGAAAAATCCACGTGACCATGGGGAGAGAGAGACACGCAAACTCCAAATATATGCAGGCGTGAGGGTCAGGGTCGGGATCGAACCCATGATCTCCTGTATACCAGGCGAGGGAGTTAACATCTAGCCACCGTGATGATGATGATGATGACAGAGAGAGACACGCAAACTCCAAATATACAGCAGCAGGCGTCAGGGCCAGGATCGAACTCGCGACCTTCTGTCAGCGATCCCATTCTCATAGTGTGGCCGACTGAAGCGGTGAAACATTGAGTCGGTTGTTCGGTGCGAGCGGGACACGCGTCACATTTTTTAAATCCTTTATATTAAGTTCGCTTGCTTGCTTGCTTGCGCGCTTACGACCGTGCAAATCTTTCGGTCGTTTTTTAACCCACTTCCCGTGATCCAATTGAGCTGACATTTTGCACACACTTTTTAGGAAAAATAAATTATATTTTATTACCAATTGCTTAATGGTGGCAGGCAATCATCTGACCCATAGGTGGCAGCCATCTCAAGCCAGAGGACGAGAGGACTCTAGCCGCCATGCATATAAAGGATTTATAGTGAAAAACTTTGTTTTTACGGGTTAATTTTTTCCCCCCCCCCCACTGTCATCCGCTTGGCGAGTTCGGTGAGCTCGGCGAGTCTCTTCTGTTTGTACGGTATGCAGCCAGTCACCGCCCTCGGCGTCCGTCGGCGCACTTGCGGTCTCGAGCAGCGTCGCTAAGTTTTCCGCGTCTCCGTCGAGAGGGATTATAACTCCCTCTCATCACAGTCCTGCTGTCTCGTCTCCTACGACATCTACCAGCGTTCCCCGCGCCCGTCACCCCCCCCCCCGCGTCCACCCCGTCTCCCTCCCGCCCCCCTCCCCGCGTCCCCCCATGACTCGTGCGTGGGTTTGCGCGCCATCCACCCACCGCAGGCGTCCACGGCAACGTGATGGCGATCCTGGCGCGTTACATTTACCACCGGCACGACGCCGCGCTGCCCAGGCTCGCCGTGCAGCTGCTCAAGCGCCTCGCCATGGTGAGCGCCAGCAGTGGCCCCACCCCCCACCCCCCTTCAGTACAGGTAGTCCCCGAGTTACGATGGTCCGACTTACGATATTTCGATCTTACGATGGCGATAGCGATACGACAAAATTGCCATCAGCAACCCTAACATCGTTCAAGTGTGCAGACGAAGGACAGAATCTTGGTGACTAGAGTACAATATGATACGTTACGATACGTTCAATGCATGTATGATACGTAGCTTTAGCGATTTCATTTTAGGGTTACCACGATACGTTCAATGCATGCTAAAAGTTTTTACAGCAGATAGGATTGTTTCCTGAAAAAACTTTCTATTAAATTGCAGTTCATATAGGTAGGTTAAGAATTTACCTTGTTTTTTTACTTTACATTTTATTGTGCAATGCAGTATTGTAATTAATAAATACATACAGTATATAGTTTATACAGTACGCTACTGTAAATTGCTCTGTTTTGCTAAATTATCACCATTCTTTAAGACTCCTGGGTAGGCTAGGCCATCTTCGACTTACGATATTTTCGACTTACGATGGGGTCATCGTAACGCATCTCCATCGTAATTAGAGGACTACCTGTACCTTTATTTTTGACTGCAGGAAGAATCTGATGAGCTATAAAGCTCTTGATCAAAGATTTCCAATAGGGGCATGGGGGTCAGAGAGTTACAACAACGAACAATTCAACAAACACGATTCGAGTGCAAAGTATCGGGGAGATAAACAAATCGGTAAGAAAAGTGGATGAGGTTAACGATTAATTATTAAGTTCATTGTGCGCCCCATCTGAATGGAGTTGATACAATCCAAACTGTCAAAAGTTGATGGTTAAAGTATTCCAATGACGCTGGCATTGGTATCACACTTTACACTTTCCCGGACACCTTACCGCTGTAGTAACATCCTCTTTTGTAAAATGATGGATGCGTTTCATTTTTTTTATTTTTTTAAAATTTATTTTATAGTTAAACTTGCGTTTCATTACGTCCCCGGGCACAAACAGCGGTCAAAGGAATCGTAAACACACGTGAACAAAAATATGTCCATCAGCTTCCCGCATCATTATTCTCTAGCAGCATTTGTTTAAGTTTGCGTAACTCTGGATCGGTTTCGACCTTGTGGGTTTTATTGGCAATTGCATTCCCAGAATCTAAATAAAGTTGTTACAGATTGTGAATTTTTTTTCTCAGGGTTGATGTTGGCAATTATTAACGTGTGTGAATTCAGTGAAATTAAATCCGTTAACTGTTGTTTTAACAACCGATGATGGCGCTGGTTCTTTGGCACATGTTTGTGCAACACGTGCTGGCGCTGCGGGGAGCGGTGCCACAGCGGTTAGCGCGCGGCGCTACGAACCTGGCTAATCGTGTTCCATTCCCGCTCATGGACATTTATCTGAACCGGTCCTGGGCCTCCCGTAGGTCGACTCAGCCTCAAATGAGAATCAGTTGCAGTGTGTTAACATCACCACTTGGGAGACAAAGGTGATGGGGCGCGATGCTGGCCACACACCCCCTCGTGCACCGTGCCGGCCTTCGTAATTGCTACTCGCTAACAGCACTTGCCCCAGCAGTCTTCTAGAGGCCGTATGGGGGATCTTTGTCCTTGTGGCGCGTGCCGTGTGAGTGACGGGCGGCTTGTGCCGGCAGGTGGCGCCCATGTCGGTGTACGGCTGTCTCGGCGGAGATGCGCCGGCCATACGGGACGCCTTTATCGGCCGCCTGCGATCACCCACCGAGGTGCAGGCTCCTCACAAACAGCCCTCAGAGTCCCCGCGTGTCCACTCACCACGTGTCGCTCTGCGTGCCCACTCACCACGTGTTGCCCACTCACCACGTGTCACACTGTGTGCCCACTCACCACGTGTCACACTGTGTACCCACTCACCACGTGTCACACTGTGCCCACTCACCACGTGTCACACTGTGTGCCCACTCACCACGTGTCACACTGTGTACCCACTCACCACGCGTCACACTGTGTACCCACTCACCACACGTCACACTGTGTGCCCACTCACCACGCGTCACACTGTGTGCCCACTCACCACGTGTCACACTGTGTGCCCACTCACCACGCGTCACACTGTGCACCCACTCACCACGTGTCACACTGTGTGCCCACTCACCACGTGTTGCCCACTCACCACGTGTCACACTGTGAACCCACTCACCACGCGTCACACTGTGTACCCACTCACCACGTGTCACACTGTGTACCCACTCACCACGCATCACACTGTGTGCCCACTCACCACGTGTCACACTGTGTGCCCACTCACCATGCGCCACACTGTGTACCCACTCACCACGTGTCACACTGTGTGCCCACTCACCACGCGTCACACTGTGTACCCACTCACCACGTGTCACACTGTGTGCCCACTCACCACGCGTCACACTGTGTACCCACTCACCACGCGTCACACTGTGTACCCACTCACCACGTGTCACACTGTGTACCCACTCACCACGTGTCACACTGTGTACCCACTCACCACGCGTCACACTGTGTACCCACTCACCACGCGTCACACTGTGTGCCCACTCACCACGCGTCACACTGTGTACCCACTCACCACGTGTCACACTGTGTACCCACTCACCACGCGTCACACTGTGTGCCCACTCACCACGCGTCACACTGTGTGCCCACTCACCACGTGTCACACTGTGTACCCACTCACCACGTGTCACACTGTGTGCCCACTCACTACGCGTCACACTGTGTACCCACTCACCACGTGTCACACTGTGTACCCACTCACCACGTGTCACACTGTGTGCCCACTCACCACGCGTCACACTGTGTACCCACTCACCACGTGTCACACTGTGTACCCACTCACCACGCGTCACACTGTGTGCCCACTCACCACGTGTCACACTGTGTACCCACTCACCACGTGTCACACTGTGTACCCACTCACCACGCGTCACACTGTCACACTGTGTGCCCACTCACCACGCGTCACACTGTGTGCCCACTCACCACGCGTCACACTGTGTACCCACTCACCACGTGTCACATTGTGTACCCACTCACCACGTGTCACACTGCGTGCTCACTCACCACGTGTCACACTGTGTACCCACTCACCACGTGTCACACTGTGTACCCACTCACCACGTGTCACACTGTGTACCCACTCACCACGTGTCACACTGTGTACCCACTCACCACGCGTCACACTGTGTGCCCACTCACCACGTGTCACACTGTGTACCCACTCACCACGCGTCACACTGTGTGCCCACTCACCACGCGTCACACTGTGTACCCACTCACCACGCGTCACACTGTGTGCCCACTCACCACGCGTCACACTGTGTGCCCACTCAGCCACGTGTCACACTGTGTACCCACTCGCCACGCGTCACACTATGTGCCCACTCACCACGTGTCACACTGTGTGCCCACTCACCACGCGTCACACTGTGTGCCCACTCACAACGTGTCACACTGTGTGCCCACTCACCACGTGTCACACTGTACCCACTCACCACGTGTCACACTGTGTGCCCACTCACCACGTGTTACACTGTGTGCCCACTCACCACGTGTCACACTGTGTACCCACTCACCACGTGTCACACTGTGTGCCCACTCACCACGTGTTACACTGTGTGCCCACTCACCACGTGTCACACTGCGTGCCCACTCACCACGTGTTGTTCGGTGCGTCCACTCACTACGCGTTGTCCGCCGTGTGCCCAGGATATGAGAATCAAGGTGATGATCCTGGAGTTCCTGACGGTTGCCGTGGAGACCCAGCCCGGCCTCATCGAGCTCTTCCTGGACCTGCAGCCGGAGAGCGGCGCGGATAGCGGCTCCAAGGTGAGAAACGGACGCACGCACACATGCACACATACATAAATACATACACGCACACATGCGTGTGTATCATATGTGCGTGTGTGTATAATGGGGAGCAGTTAGCGCGCTGCGCGACGAACCCGGCGACCCAAGTTCGGTTCCCGCTCACGGTCCTGGGCCTCGCCTAGGTCGACTCAGCCTGAAATTAGTACCTGGTGCGGTGTCTAAACATCGCCACTGGGGAGACAAAGGCGGTCGGGCGTGGTGCTAGCCACCCACCCCCTCGTGTACCGTTCCGGCCTTCATAGGTGCTCGCTAACAGCACTTGCCCTTACAGTCTGTTAAGGCTATATGGGGGATCTTTATCTTTGTGTATGTATGTAGTGTATCTATGTATATGTGTGTATGTATATGTGTATCTACGTGTGTATTTATGTGTGTATGTATGTATGTGTGTATGTATGAGTGTATGTGTGTATGTATGAGTGTATGTGTGTATGTATGAGTGTATGTGTGTATTTATGTGTGTATGTATGTATGAGTGTATGCGTGTATTTATGTGTGTATGTATGTGTGTGTCTACGTGTGTATGTATGTGTGTATCTGTGTGTAAGTATGTGTGTATCTATGTATGTATGAGTGTGTGTATGAGTGTATGTGTGTATGTATGTGTGTATGTGTGTATGTATGTGTGTATCTGTGTGTGTATGAGTGTATGTATTATGTATGAGTGTATGTGTGTATGTATGTGTGTATGTATGAGTGTATGTGTGTATTTATGTGTGTATGCATGTGTATCTACGTGTGTATGTATGTGTGTATGTATGAGTGTATGTGTGTGTGTATCTACGTGTGTATGTATGTGTGTATCTGTGTGTAAGTATGTGTGTATGTATGTATGAGTGTATGTTTGTATGTATGAGTGTATGTGTGTACGGCGGATCTTTGTCTTTGTGTGCGTCGGCTACCCAGCAGGAGCTGGCGCTGGGCAATGGCAGCTGCCTGCCCGTGGTGCTCGAGTTGGTGTGTGTGGAAGGCCCTGGGGCGCCCTCCTGTCCCCCGCTGCTCCACCGCACCGCCGTGGCCTTCGTGTACGCGCTGTGGCAGGACCGTCGGCAGAGCGCCATGACCATCCTGAGAAGCAGGTGGGGCGCCACCCACCCATCTACTCGACAACCACAAACCTGTCAAACCCCTTCTCAGTGCTTCGACCTTATCGCAGACCAATTCAGTGCTTATCGGTCACCCCGTGCCCCCTTATTAATCTCAGCGTTCATCCTACCAAGTCCCATCGCAAGGGAGAAACGCAAACAAATAGACAAAAAAGTATATTTTTGTCCGTATTGAAATGGCTGTACGGCCATATGGACCTGAAAACTCAATTTCCCTGCACAAGAATACGGGCTAAACCGTGATGGGTTGACACGGTATGCAACCACCCGCTTGCCCATCATACCTGTGAAGCTTGCCGACCCAATAGCACCGGCAACGCAGTTTGTGTGTCATAGCGTTGTCCGCTGGTTTTTATTTCTTTCAGGAAGGACTTTTGGGAGAACCTCACCTATCCCCTGTTCAGCGACTTCCTGCCAATATCCACCGACATCGAGGTACACGTTCACCGCATCGCGCGGCGCTTTCAGATGCGCTTCTGCAGCTGTCTGGAACGCTCTCTTCCTTCCGATATTAGGAAGCCACTTTTAAATCATCTAGATCAGGGGTGGGGAACCTTTTTTCTGCCAAGGGCCATTTGGATATTTATAACATCATTCGCGGGCCATGCAAAATTCAATTTTCGTTGCTATGAAAAAAGCTCCTATATTTATTGAATTTCGAGTCGTGCGTTTGCCTTGGCAGGGTCAGACAATTATTTTGTGGGCTTTTTGCGGCCCGCAGGCCGGACATTCCCCACCCTGATCTAGGTTGACAAACTAATTTCTTTAGAACTGCTTTTTGTGTTTAGTTTGTTGTCTTTCGCCCGCACCTCTGATTAGCGCGGTTGGCTACGCGCGGGGGAAAAAGAAGAACATACAAACACACGTAGATACACACAGATACACACATACATACACACATAGATACACACATACATACATACACACATACATACACACATAGATACACACATACATACACACATAGATACACACATACATACACACACAGATACACACATACATACACACATAGATACACACATAGATACACACATACATACACACATAGATACACACACACATGCATACACACATAAATACACACATACACTCATACATACACACATACATACACACATACATACATACACACATACACTCATACATACACACATACATACACACATAGATACACACATACATACACACATAGATACACACATACATACACACATAGATACACACATAGATACACACATACATACAGGCATAGATACACACACACATACATACACACATAAATACACACATACACTCATACATACACACATACATACACACATACATAACCAAGGCCTCATCGTTTGAACAAACTAGCAACACCTGTGGATTTTTTCTCTGCGTGGATTTTCTCCGGGTCCTCCTGGTTTTTTTTTCTCCTCCACAGTTCAGATCAACATGACGCATTTCAGAGTATTCGGCTGGTGTACATTTTCACGTGATGATCACAAGCTTCCTTGTTGAGCCATCAATTGTGGCCACTGAAAAGGAGCTATGTGATAGCTCAGTGGGAGCCTTACCTGGTAAAATAAAAAGTTTAGTTTTGAAAGTTGAGCTTAGATTTTGATTTAAATCTTTCGTGACTGCAGGGATTCATATTTTTGGTTCTTTCGGTAAAGTCACGTAGAAGGGAAACAATAAAATAATAAAAATCTAAAACAATACAATTCTCATGCCATTTCGACTGCAACACAAGCAATCATCATCAGGTGTGAAATCCATCACGAGGTGTGGATTTCACACCTGATGATGATTGACATGTCGTGAGAATGTTATTGTTTTATATTATTATTTTATTGTTTCCCTTCTACGTGACTTTACCGAAAGAACCAAGAATATAGTTGAGCTTAGGTTAAACAAAATACACTTGGAACGATATCAAGACCATCATCACCACCACCGTCGTCATCACTAGCAGTGGGAGCCTTACCTGGTAAAATAAAAAGGTTAAGTTTAGTTGAAGCTCACGACGTTTCGGGCGCCCAGTCTGCCTCAGCAGCAGACCACGCTTTCCTACCTGATGACGGACACTTGTGTTGCTACCCACGTGACTTTACCGAAAGAGCCAAAGAGTTATGGACTCCTGCAGTCACGAAAGCTTCAAATCGAGATGAAAGTTGAAGAGTCCTTGCCTTGCTGTGAACCGCGAGTGACGTCCGGCGGTGTCGCCCTGTGCCGCCCCTCTCCTCGTCAGGTCAGCACGCTCGAAGCGTGCGCCTTCATCCTCAAGATCATCTCCCTGGAGGTGTTCTACGTCGTCAGGTGAGACTCCCCGCGCTGCGTCCGCTCCGCGTCCCCCATGCAAACCCCACCAACGGCTGTCCGGGCCCAGACGAGATTACTCGTATGGGATGTTCAAATACCTTTAGCAAGGAATCAAGTCTGCATTAACCACACGTACTTGTGGTGATGTCGCTGCTCGCCCCGAGCTATGAATTAAATTTGGTTCCGCACTTCCATTTGGCCAAATTCCAGCTGTGAGAAATTTCAATGTTTGGTTTGGTGTGTCATGGGCCCAACGTTACTCTCTGTCTGTGGACCAGAAGGCGGCACCTGACGACGTTAGGGAGGTAGTTCTACAATATCCGCTTACGTGGGCCGTTCGTCTGTCACAAAGGGGGTCGCGCTGCTGCACGAGACATCGGAATTGATTCCGATGTCACGACGCCGGTCGCATCATCCGGATTTAAATCGGGGAGAAGCGGCGTTTCCAAATATTCCACAGTTACACATTTTGGCAAAGATGCGACCGCAGCGACGTTTGGCTGCATGCGGCCACGCTGATGCCCCTGCCGCTACTTCCGCCACCTCCCCCCCCCCCGGCCCCCCGTTCCAGTGGCTCTCTGGACCCGTCGCTGGTGCTGGTGCTGCGGAGGCTGAATGAGGGCGGCCGTTACCGCTACTGGTCGGGCTACGTGCGCGGGCTGGCGTGCCGCCTGGCGTCGCGCGCGCAGCTCGGCGACGGGGACCAGGACGTTGGCGGCGGTGGCGGCGGCGCCGGCTACGCGGCGGCGCCGGAGGCCGCAGAAGACGGAACCAACCTGGTGGAGGCGTGGAGGACCCTGCTCATCCTCGCCACCAATCACGTACGTCCGTGCCAGCGGTCACGCGGGTGCGCGAGCGGTCACATAGGGACGCTGCAATCACATAGGCCGTCGCCTCCCCCGTGCTGGTCCTGTGTTGCGCGCGAGTGATATTGTTCGGATTATTATTGTTTTGCAGTTGAATTGTATCTTGGTGAGCATTTATATGGGGTCAGTGGGGCAGTGAGTGAGTGAGCGGTTAGCTGGGCTGGTGGGAAAGTGAATGGGTGGGTGAGTAAGTGAATGGGTGGGTGAGTAAGTGAATGGGTGGGTGGGAGGGCAAGTTAGTAAATAGGCGGGTTGGTCAATAAATGGATCGGTAGATGGGTGAGTGAGTGGGCCGGTTGATGGGTGAGTTAGCCAGTGAATGTACGCGCAGAAAATGAGCGAGAGGGCGAGTGCATGTATTTCGTGACCAAGTGAACACGCGAGTGAGCGGTCGACTGAAACGAGTGAATGAGCGATTGAGTCGCTGAGTAAGTGAGCAAGCAGGGTGAGTGAGCCTGTGAGTGACTGAGCGAGCGTGTGAGCGCGCCCGAGCCGTGCCGTGCTCACGCGCCGTGCGTGTCGCTGCAGGGGAACATTCTCTTCCTGGACGACGACGAGACCCGGGCCACCGTCATGCAGGACGTCCTGGCGGGGCTCAGCGTCCTGGTAAGAGTAGTCCCCCCCCCCTCCCCCCTCTTTTCCCCCCTCCCCACCCCCTCTGCCCCCCGCACCCCCCATCCCCACCGGCCGCGGTGCCAAGATGTTAACTACCCCACCTGGTTTACGGGAGGTCCTGGGTTCGATCCCGACCCTTTAACGCCTAAATTTCGATTTAAAGCTTTCGTGACTGCAGCGATTCATCTTCTTGGTTCTTTCGGTAAAGTCACGTAGAAGGGAAACAATAAAATAATAAAAATAAAACATAATAAAATAATTCTCACGACGTTTCGGCCACAACGCAAGCAGCCATCCTCAGGTGAAGAACAGGTCTGTCGGAAAGACAGCGTCTGAAATTATTTCAGACGCTGTCTTTCCGACAGACCTGTTTTATTACTTCCCTTCTACGTAACTTTACCGAAAGAACCAAGAAGATGAATCCTTTAACGCCTGTTGTTTATTTGGAGGTTTGCGTGTCTCTCTCCCCGTGGTCGCGTGGATTTTTCTCCGGGTGCTTCGGTTTTCCCCTCCACGGTTAGAATCATGCCTTTAGATGATTTGGCTGCTGAAAATGTCCACATGATAGGCCACTTCATTGAGCTGTCATTTCTTGTGACCAGGTCGCTTCTGAGAAAGAGTTACACAGCTCATTGGACCTTACCTGGTAAAATAACAAAAAAGAGTTGTATTATTTTTCTTCATGTCCTGACTGTGTGAGGTCATGTGTGCGTGTGTGTCCTGTAGCGGTAGTGCGGCGGTTAGCACGCTGTGCTACAAACCCAGCGAACTGAGTTCGATTCCCGCCCACAGTCAACACCAGTGACGATTATCTGAACCGGTCCTGGGCCTCCCCTAGCTGGACCCAGCCTCAAATAAGTACCTGGTGCGGTGTGTAGTGAACATCGCCACTAGGGAGGCAAAGGCGGTCAGGCATTGTGTTGGACATCCACCCCCTCGCGTGCAGTGCCAGCCTTCATAAGTCTATCCCTCTGAGTCACTGTATATCTCTGTGGGTCTGTATGCGTTTTCATGCTAATTCATGTATTCCCATGTCCCCCATGTGTCCCCATGTATCCTCGTGTGTGTCAGTGGGTCCTTGTGTATGTACTCATGGGTCCATGTGTGTGCCCGTGTGTCCACGTCTGTCCTCCTGTGTCCCCGCGTGGCACCAAGTGTCTCCCATGCGTATCCCCCGCGTGCCCCGATGTATTCTAACGTCTCCTCGTCTGTCCTCTGTGTGTCCCCCTGCGTGTGCTGTCCCTCACAGGTGAAGGTGGAGTGCAGTCGGCTGTGCATGCACCTCATGGCCATGCTGTCTACCACTCTGTGTGTTCTGCTGCGGCATTGGGGCAGGTACGCACGCGAATGCACGCGAACACACACGGACATGCACAGCTACAACACTTTCAAATCATCCCACAATCATGGCGCTCATCTTCGTAGCAGCGGCTATTTTGGCTGAGCCATCGAACAAAGGTGGCGGTCACTGCTTCGAGTGCTTTCAGATGCGCTTCTGCGGCCGTCTGGAACGCTCTTCTTTCCGCTATTAGGAAGCCACTGGGAGCTGTGCACTTTTACATCATCGTCTAGATTGACTAACTCATTTCTTTAGAACTGCATGCAGTGTTCAGTTTGTTGTCCTTCCCCCACACCTCGATTTAGCACGGTTGGCTACGCACGGTGGCGCGAAAGAAGTTCGACACAAACACACATGTACATCAACTCACTTTCACGGGCGGCTGCCGAGATGGGAGACCCAGCATGTGAGCGGTGCCGATTCGGCGTCTGTGACTTGTGAGCCGCCCCTCGTCGACCTCGCAGCAAATTTGCGTGCGCGGGGATGAGACAGAACTGCCCGGGGTGACACGGAACCAGCCCTGTGTCCCGCCGGCGTTTTTTTTCTCCGCTATCTGTTCTCACGCCCTCCCGCTTGCACCGTTGCGTGTTCCCCCGCGGCGCCAGCGCTCTGCCGGGCGGCCAGGACGTGCTGCCGGAGCTGCTGGACGTGCTGCGACGGCTGCAGCAGGCAACGGAGCGGCGCCTCGCCGAGAAGATCAAAGCGCGGCTCCTCGCGGCCGTGATGCTCGTTCTGCAGCAGAGGCGCCTCCGAGGTTGGAAGCCGCCGTGCCGTTGTTTTGTCCACGCGCGCGTGTTGATCATAGTGGGGTGACGGTAACGTTCCAGACGGCCGCTGAAGCGATGATGGTCACGGTGCTGGTGGCGGTAATGGCGACGGTGGTAACCGCGTCGCCTATCCACGTTCCCCCCCCCTCTGAAGCCGGTACTCTGCCCGGACACAAGCAGCTGGTGCAGCTGGTGTGCGAGACGCTGCGGCAGGAGGTGACGGCGCTCATGGAGCAGAGCCAGAGCTCGTGGCGGGCGGCGGCGGCGGCGGCGCCACAAGCCGGCACCCTGGGAGTCGACAGCATGGACACGGATTCAGCTCCAGCCCCTGCCAGGGATGACAGGGACGGGGTGAGGACAACACGGCAGTCATTCCACACTCGCCGCTCCACGCAGCGAGTGATACAGGCCCATGTCTCTCTGGTTAGAGGCACAGGCCCAGGTCCGTCTGGTGAGAGACACAGGCCCAGGTCTGTCTGGTGAGAGGCACAGGCCCAGGTCTGTCTGGTGAGAGACGCAGGCCCAGGTCTGTCTGGTGAGAGACACAGGCCCAGGTCTGTCTGGTGAGAGACGCAGGCCCAGGTCTGTGTGGTGAGAGACACAAGCCCAGGTCTGTGTGGTGAGAGACGCAGGCCCAGGTCTGTGTGGTGAGAGACACAGGCCCAGGTCTGTGTGGTGAGAGACGCAGGCCCAGGTCTGTCTGGTGAGAGACACAGGCCCAGGTCTGTCTGGTGAGAGACGCAGGCCCAGGTCTGTGTGGTGAGAGACACAGGCCCAGGTCTGTCTGGTGAGAGACGCAGGCCCAGGTCTGTGTGGTGAGAGACACAGGCCCAGGTCTGTGTGGTGAGAGACGCAGGCCCAGGTCTGTCTGGTGAGAGACACAGGCCCAGGTCCGTCTGGTGAGAGACACAGGCCCAGGTCTGTCTGGTGAGAGACACAGGCCCAGGTCTGTCTGGTGAGAGACACAGGCCCAGCTCTGTCTGGTGAGAGACACAGGCCCAGCTCTGTCTGGTGAGAGACACAGGCCCAGGTCTGTCTGGTGAGAGACACAGGCCCAGGTCTGTGTGGTGAGAGACACAGGCCCAGGTCCGTGTGGTGAGAGACGCAGGCCCAGGTCTGTCTGGTGAGAGACACAGGCCCAGGTCTGCCTGGTGAGAGACACAGGCCCAGGTCTGTCTGGTGAAAGACACAGGCCCAGGTCTGTCTGGTGAGAGGCACAGGCCCAGGTCTGTCTGGTGAGAGGCACAGGCCCAGGTCTGTCTGGTGAGAGACACAGGCCCAGGTCTATCTGGTGAGAGACACAGGCCCAGGTCTGTGTGGTGAGAGACACAGGACCAGGTCCGTGTGGTGAGAGACACAGGCCCAGGTCTCTCTGGTGAGAGGCATCAATGCTGGACAACCCGGATTAATCACAGGCAGTGGCTGAGAGACGGATTGTATGCATGTTGAACTTCTTTCGCACCGTAAGTAGCCAGCCGTTCTAATAGGAGGTGCGTGGGAAGGACAACAAACTAAACACAAAAAGCAGTTCTCAAGAAATGAGTTTTCAACATGATTTAAAAGTACACAGCTCAATATCGGAAGGAACCCCAAGATCTCAGCGGTGCCGACTCTGTGCCCTGACCTCTGAGCCACCGGGTCACGTCAAGACAGGCGATGGATGCACGCCCATCATCTGCCACGGCTGCTGCTGCTGCCACCGCTCGCTCTTCTCGGGTCTCGGCGGTGTAGCAGGAATCTCTTTTGTAAGACAGTCGTTCTGGTGTCGGCGGCGGCGGCGAAACTCTCGGCGTGCGTGCCGGGCCCCGTGCCGCGTCCTGCCGCAGGTGTGCGTGGTGGCGCTGCACTTGGCCAAGGAGCTCTACCTGCTGGAGGAGGGCACGGGCGGCGGCGGTGGCGGCGGCAGCGGGTACCTGAGCTGCGTGCGTGAGGGCGCGCTGCTGCCCGCCGTGGGCGCTGCCCTCGAGTGGAGCCTGCAGCGGCGGTGCCAACTCCACTTCACAGAGGCGGCGCTGCACTGGCTGCTGGCGCTCTCCACCACCGCGGAGGTATGACAGGGAGACAAAGGCGGCCGTGGTGTTGGTCTCCCACCGCCATCGCGTGCCGTGCCGGCCTTAGTAGGTGCTACTCGCTACTGACAGCGCCCGCCCCATCAGATGGACTCACTTAACCCTCGGTATATCCGCTAAGACGGCTGATTCGAGAAGGAGGGCACGCGGATGTGGGTCCCACGTTTCTTTCTCCGTTGGTTTTGTTCGTCATCTTTGTCATGCCGCTCCCCCGCCTTGGTTACTTAATGAACCCTCTACACATTAACAAGCCACCTCTGTTTAGGGAGAGAAGCCGACCCAGAGGACGCGATGATCCATATGTGCTGTGACCCTCCTTGCACGTCCGCGTGTCCTCTCTTGCGACTGTTAAAATGGGTTCAGTTAACAAAAAGAAACCACGAGTCCGTTAAGAGGCTACACGGCGTAGCTTTGTCTTTGTCCCGGTGGCACCGGTGCCGAGCGGTGCGTTGTGCGCCGCGGTGTGCAGGGCGCCCAGGCGCTGGCCGCGGTCGGGGTGCTGCAGTGCCTGTGCCTGCCCCTGCTGAGCACCTACCAGGTGGACGCCAACGGCCTCGCCGCGCTCGAGGTGAGCACCGTCCGGACGTGTGCTCGCCCACGCCTGCCGAGTGTCGCCCGTACACCCGTCGCCCAACTAGCCCAGCTGTGCCCACACACTCGCCTACGCACTCACTCGACCACTTCGCCTACCTGCTTAACCACCAACCCGGCCCACCTTCATGCCTTCCACCCCTGCTGTTGTTGAGCGGTTACTGATCCTACATGGGTCACTTCAGTTTCATTTTTCAGTTTCATTTATGTGGTATAGCCCTGTGAGCCATTCGGCTCTTGAATCGGGTTCAACCGCAGCAAACAAAAACATGAGCTGACAGTAGAGCCGGATTGTCCCACATGCTTCGTGTGCCTGCGCGTGCGACTGTGTCGTGTGTGTGTGTCCCGTGTGTGTCTCTTGTGTGTGACTGTGTCCCATGTGTGTCCCTTGTGTAACAATGCGTGCCCCTTGTGTGTCCCGTGTGTGTGCCTATCCGTGTGTGTCTCCCGTGTGTGTCCTGTGTGTCACTTCCGTGTGTGCCCTTGTATGTCCCGTGTGCGTGTCCCACGTTTGACCCCTGCGTGTGTCTCCCGCGTGCGTGTCACGCACGGTGTACAGAAGGCTGGGGGACCCCCGCGGAGGAGCCACGAGGCGCCCAGCTGGCAAGGCGCCTACTGCCTGTGCCTGGCCGTCCTGCAGGCCGTCCTGAGGCAGCTGCGTCACAGCGCCCTGCCTCAGGCCCTCGACTTCCTGGGCGTCCACCAGGAGCGCATCCTGCAGGTCGCGACCCCTGCCGGCTGACCGGCCGTCCTCTTGATACGCGTGCGGGCGCTCGTTGGCGGCGCGCCAGTGCCTTGCGTAGCTGCGTTCGTCACGCCAGTAGGGTGATACGTTTCCATTCATTGGCTACCACAGTCTGATAAGCTCTCCAACCCCCCCCCCCCCTCTCCACCTCCCTTCAACTTGCTTATAAGGGATTACATCTTGAATCATTGCTTCACTTGATGCAGCTAATTCGGCTGTGACGGTCCCACCTGATGACGGAGACTTGTGTTGCCTCCGAAACGTCGTGATTTTTATTTTTATTTTTATTTTGATGTTTTACTTACGTGACTTAACCGAAAAAAACCTAAGAATATGAATCTTTGCAGTCACGAAAGCTTCAAATCTAGAATTGTTACCTGGACGTTCAGGTTCGGGGTGTCCCCTAATTCATGGGTAGGATGCCCCCCGCCGCCCCCCCAAGCTTTGTTCTCTCCAATAGCCAACAGTGAAATACATTTTCTTGATTCTTTCGGTAAAGTCACGTAGAATGTAAATGATAAAATAATAAAAATAAAACATAATAAAATAATTCTCACGACGTTTCGGCCACAACGCAAGCAGCCGTCCTCAGGTGGAGAGCAGGTCTGTCGAGTAGACAGTCTACGGGACTTTACCGAAAGAACCAAGAAGATGAATCCCTGCAGTCACGAAAGCTTTAAATCGAAGTGAAATACATTTAAATGTTCCCACATTTTATCGGTGTATCGACGATGCCTGAACGTGTTGAACGTCTTTCGCACCGCCGTACGTAGCCAACCGTGCTAATCGGACGTGCGGGGGGAAGGACAACAAACGGAACATAAAAAGGCAGTCCTCGATCTGTATGATTTAAAAGTGCGTAGCTGCCAGTGGCTTCCTAATATCGGAAGGAAGAGCGTTCCAGACGGCCGCGGAATCGCGTCCGCAAGCGCCGTGCGATGCCGTGACAATCTCGTGCCGGGTGGCAGCGTCTCACTCGGGCGGAGGGCAGGGAAGAGAAGGGGAGAGCGGAGTTTGTGACTTGGGCTGCGTGTCGCACCGCTGCGCCTTTCCCAGAGCCTGCAGGCGGTGCGGGGGGTGCTGGGCCAGGCCTGCCTGGAGGAGGCGGAGAAGACGGTCGCCTTCCTCCTGCACTTGGCCTACTTCACCAGGGAGTGGCACTTCCACCTGCCGCTGTTGCTGAACTCCGTGCAGGTGAGCTCTGTTCAGGTGACCTGCCGTGCAGGCGAGCTCCGCCGTCAAGGTGTTGACGACGGGGGTCGAGTGGCTCACACATCAAAGAGCTGGCACCGCTGAAAAATAGCCTCGGTTCAGATCCAGGTTTCAGCCGCTGCCTGTGGTTTAAACCGGGTTTTCAAGCGTAGTGAGTCGATGGTAACCAGTGACTTACACAGAGGCCCATAGACTCGCATAGAGACCCATGGACAGAGGTGGGTGGGAGGTGAGGGGGGAGCGGTAGTGCAGTGGTTAGCGCGCGCCGCGCTTCCAACCCGGTGACCCGAGTTCAATGCCCGTTCACGGCCAACACTAGGGAGACAAATGCGGCCGGGCGTGGTGCTGGCCACCCACCGCGCCGTGTGCTGTGTGTCCGGCCCTCATAGGCGCTGCCACTCTGGCAACAGCACACGGGGGGGGTGGTGGGGGGACCTTTGGGTTGGGGGGTGGGGGAAGATTACGAAACAATATTCGTCATCGGCCGGGCGAGAGAGAATGTTCCAATGCCGGTGCTTGGATTGTTGACGGCGGCGTCCGCGTCCTTCCGTGTTGCTGCAGGTGGCGCTCTGCTCCCTATGCCAGACGTGCACCGCCTTGCTGCACAGCCAGAAGCTCCTGCAGCAGTACCTCGCGGTGAGTGGTGCCGCCGCACTAGCACCGGGCTAGCGCCGGGCTAACGCCGGGCTAGCGCCGGACAGAGTCGCTCCCTTTGCCCCCAACTCTTTCTCTCCGCGCCAGCGACGACTTCCCTCTTCATCGTCCTCCGTCCCAGCTTTGTCCTTCCGCTCGTTAGCTCGGCTCGCGGCGGGTGTGCTTGGCAACGCCGCAACGTACCATGCGGTCATGAGCGGCTGCCGCACCACCCCCCCGCCCCCACCCACCCACAACACAGCCTGTTAGGGTGAGCACTGCGCCCAGTGTCGTCACATCTCGGCAGATCTTGGGAAGTTGCAGCGGGGTTCACTGTCACCGTTGCGGCGGGACGCGTCACCCCTCTTGATGCACAAACTGCAGCAGCAAATTGCGCAACTTTGGTTGGCGGTCAACGTTGAAAGTGAGAGCCGCAACCCTCAAAGGAATGTCGCCGCCACCGCCCCCCGTGGTGGTGCAGTTATGGTGACAGGAGAACAGGTGGAAGCGGTTAAGGAGGTGTTGCGGTAGTGATAGGGGTGGGGTAGTGATAGGGGTTGGGGTAGTGGTAGGGGTTGGGGTAGTGATAGGGGTAGTGATAGGGGTTAGTAATAGGGGTAGTGAGAGTGGTTGGGGTAGTGATAGGTGTAGTGAGGCCTGGTCGTAGCTGGGGGCGGCAGGGGGTTCGAGAGTAGCGGCAGTGCAGGATGACGCTGGGCTAGTGAAGAAGAGGGATGGGGGTTGTTGTAAGAGAGGCTGCCGGTTCGAGTGAAGGTGATTGCTCTGTGTGCTGCAACGGAGTCTGTTCCAGCGAAGGCGGGGAGGGAGTTGAATGAATGGATTGTCGTTGCCTGTGACCGCGACCAATGTCGCCCCTGACGCGACGATGCCTCGTGCGCTGCAGTCGAAAAGCGCGGGGCTGGCGGCGGCACCCGGCCGGGACGGCGGTGGTCGCGGCGGCTGCGGCACGGGCGTCGGCGTCGGCGGCGTCGGCGGCACCGGCGAAGTCGGCCAGGAGGCAGAGCGAGGCCCCGGCGGCGTGGCCCTGGCCCAGGCGAGCCTGCTGCGCATCCTGGGCACCACGCTGGCCGCACTGCGCCGATTCAGCCCCGACGTCTGCCAGATCCTGCTGGACCAGGTCACGACCCCGCACCATCCCCCACCGCTTGTTGGTTTGTCGTGAAACTCGCCGATTGCGGCCCGTCGTGCCGGTCGTCCCGTTGGTTTGTCGCCGCCGTGACCGGCGTCGCTTGCGCGGTTTATTGTTGCGAGTCTGATTGATGTGGCACGCGCGGTGTCGTGGCCGTGACTGACGCGGCTCGTGCGTGTGGCGCAGACGATGGACCTGTCGGAGTACGAGCCGCTCTTCTCGCTGAGCCTGGTGGCTCCGTCGTGCGACGCCGACGCCAGCCCCTCGCTCGGCTCGCTCCTCTCCGCGATCAGCGTCGCTCAGGGCCTCGCCGCGCAGGTCGGCGAGCACCAGCACCGTCACTGCTTCCCACACGTTTGCGCTGTCCTGGGACTTTTACTTACTCGTGCGTGTGTGTGTGTGTTTATGTCGCTGTTAGACTCAAACATAGCGCTTACTTGCACCTGTACCTAACCTTTTTTTCTGCCGCCTCTCGGTTCCCACTTGATTTGTATTCATGTGTCTGTTTATACTCTTTGGTTTTTTCGGTAAAGTCACGTAGGTGAAAATAATAATTTAAATGAAAAAACAACTAGATTAAATCACGACGTTTCGGAGGCACCACAAGCTTCCGTCTTCAGGTGGAACTGTTACAGCCAAAATCACTGTCGTAAGTGAAGATAGCTAATAGAGATACGCGATTATATAGGGTAAGAGGGGGGGAGGAGCCAAGGTAGGGGGGGGGGATAAGCTATAGGAACGCGAAGTTAAGCCGATTGATAACATCTATTTATTATGCAGGAGAGGGGCGGGAGTATTGGGGCACAGAGATTGTTTGTTTATGTCGTCGTTAGACTAAAGTGTCGAGCTTTCTTCGGATACTTTCGCTGTCACGTATGTATTATCGCCGTGCGTTTCGTTTACGAGGGTCAAACGCCTCGTTTGTTTGTTGTGCAATATTCCTGAAGCGCGCACCCCCGGCACTCGCTTTCTGCTCACGCATCACCCCAAGGACCTCCGGCGTAAAATCTAACCGGGGCAACTGGCTAAGCGGAACCACTATCATCATCCGCGTAACAAATCAAACAATCTCGGCACTAAAACCATCACGCCCAACGGCTCGTCCTCTCACCCTTGACTCCCCCCCCCCCTCCCATTAAATCCAGCGTGGCCAGTCCACCAAGCACCGTGACGATCCATTGTGGTGAATCTCAGCGCGGCTCCGCGATGATCCACCAGAAAGCCGAACGAATACTGTCTAAGATGACCCTCATCGCACACAAATTGCTCGCCACAGTTGAACCGCAATACCTCACTGATCTTCTCGGGGAGCATGACCCATCACGCAAATTCCGGTCACCCTCGCAGCAGCGGCGGCTTTTGACTAACCATCGAACAAAGGCGGTCACTGCATCGCACGGCGCTTTCAGATGCACTTCTGCGGCCGTCTGGAACGCTCTTCCCTCCAACAGGAAATCACTGGGAGCTATGCAGTTTCAAATCATATAGATTGAAAACTCGTTACTTTACAAGTACTTTTTGTGTTGAGTTATCCTTTCCCCCGCACATCCGATTAGCACGGTTGGCTACATAAGGTGGTGTGAAAGAAGTTCAACACTTACATACATACTAAGCTGTGACCAACAATTACTACAATTGACCCTACAATGCCAAAGACCTAAATTTACTATCGCAATCTGTTAGTGAAATTGATCATGTTTTGAAATGCATGAATTCTCCCTAGTGGGGGGATGTTTATATTGCCATCAGCCGAAACTAGGATCGCAGTCGGCTTATGTTACGTTGGCTGACGGCCACTCCCACGTAACATCGACATGCTACATGCGCACTTAATTTATTGTTTTTCACGTGTATCTGGTGCTCTTTGTAAAAGCGTTCGCTAAATTAAACCAGCGTTGGCTCTGCTTCGTTCTGAGATTCACAAGAATATCTCTTGCGATCATCCACCCGTGGATCGCCATCCAAGTATCAGCACCACCGCTGCCGTAACCATGCACACTTAACCCTTTTCCCCGTCCCGAAGCATCTGCAAGTTATAATAATAGGGTTTTTTCCTTTTTTTTCTGGCAACAAAACTGAAATCTTTTTACGAGGATTCATGTCTGCATTAACCACAATACTTTACTTGATCTTTTCTTCCTCATTTCCACCTCCTCCTCCCCTTACCTTCAAACGATAAACCTGCTGCGGTGACCTGTAACCCTTGACCTCTGCCACCCGTAGCACTGCGACTAACCAGCGATGTTGGATCTGCAGGCCGACGGGAAAAGGGAACTCGCAAAGCACACAAACGCCGGTGACTTGAAGGCTCTGAAGTAAGTATCGCTGGACGCCACGGTGGCTATGAGATGTTAACTACCTCGCCTGGTATACAGGAGGTCATAGGTTCGATCCCGACCCGGACGCCTGCTGCTGTATATTTGGAGTTTGCGTATCTCTCTCATCATCATCACAGTGGCTAGGAGATGTTAACTACCTCGCCTGGTCTACAGGAGGTCCTGGGTTCGATCCCGACCCGGACGCCTGCTGCTGTATATTTGGAGTTTGCGTGTCTCTCTCTCTTTGTGGTCATGTGGATTTTTTTCCTCCGTGTTCTCTGTTTTTTCCTTCCACATTTAGAATCAACTCATTTTAGAGTATTTGGTTGCAATACATTTCCACGTGATGATTAAGCCACTTCGTTGAGTTTTCATTTGTGATAGGTTGCTTCTGAAAGAGAGCTGTTATAGCTGAGTGGGCCTTTCCTGGCAAAATAATGGTTTTAGCAACAACAACAAATTCTTGTTTGCAGTAGATTTACAACATTACAGCTTCACATGCCATTACCCTGTTTTCATTGGCGAGACAAAACGCCCGTGACTCTTTGCTGTTATCATAATCGTACGTAAGTGGCCATAATTGCTCGTGTTCAATTGCGTTGCTAGTGTCACACGGCTGGTGACGATGGCTCGAATGGGGGGGGGGGGGGGGGGGTGCGGTGTGCGTCGGTAGTTCTGGCCAAACCTCACACCGTGTCGGCCTACAATAGGTGCTTGCCAACGTATGTATGTACATTGAACTTATTTTTCACCGGAAGGCAAGGACAACAAACTAAAATACAAAAATAATTTCCAAAGAAATGTTTTTTCAACCTGGCTTTAACAGCATTTGCGCCAACAGTCTGGCAAGGCCATGGCACAAATAACAAAAAACTCAACACATTCATCAATAACACTGTGGCCTTGAAAGGAAAAATTAGATAATTGATGACGTTTCGGGCGACGGCCCTTCTTCAGAGCGCATAAGGCCAAAGGGAGGTCTGTGTGCGTCCGTGGGGAGCGTTGGCGTAGTGGTTAGCTCATTGCGCCGCCAATCTGTTCACGCGAGTTTGATTCCCAGCCACTGCCAACACCAGCGGCGTATATATATCGGAACCCGTGGGTCGATGCAGCCTCAAATGAGTACCTGGTGCAGTGAGACGAAGGCAATCGGGCGTGGTGCCGGCCACCAATTCTCTTGTGTAGCCTTCGTCGGCGCTGCTACCCGCTGACAGCACATGCCCCAAAAGTCTGTCGCAGGCTACATTGGGGGGGGATCTTTATGTTGTGTGCGTCTCAAATGGGTGCCTAGCGCGGTGTGTAAACATTGCCACTTGGGAGACAAAAGCAGTCGGGCGTGGTGTTGACCGCCCACCGGTTGCCGTACACGGCCAACGCCGGTGACGATTATCTGAACCGGTCCTGGGACTCCGCTAATTCGACTCGGCCTGAAACGAGTGGCGAGTGTTGTGTGTGAACGTCGCTACTGGGGGGAGACAAAGGCGGCCAGGCGTGGCGCTGGCCACCCACCCCCACGCGTAGCCGTGCCAGCCTTCGCGGGCGCCGCTGCTGTTCGCCGCCAGCGCTTGCCCCCAATAGTCTTGCTAGAGGCCAGAGGTCGCAACCGGGTACCCGATACCCGGCTACTCGTACCCGGCCGGGTACGGGTACGGGTAGGCCGTGAGTCACTGGTGAGTCACCGTCTTGTCTCTTCTCACAATTCAAGTTTCCTAGAATCAACCCACCCGCGCCTACAACATGGCTTCATCCCAGAGGTCGCAACCGGGTACCCGATACCCGTACCCTACCCGATACCCGGCTACCCGTACCCGGCCGGGTACGGGTACGGGTAGGCCGTGAGTCACTGGTGAGTCACCGTCTTGTCTCTTCTCACAATTCAAGTTTCCTAGAATCAACCCACCCGCGCCTACAACATGGCTTCATCCCAGAGGTCGCAACCGGGTACCCGATACCCGTACCCTACCCGATACCCGGCTACCCGTACCCGGCCGGGTACGGGTAGCCGTTTGCGACCCTGGTGCGGCCGGGTAGGGGTAGGCCGTGAGTCACTGGTGAGTAACCGTTTGTCACTCATTTCGGGTAGGGTACGGGTACGGGTAGGGAACGGGTACCCGTACCCGGCCGGGTACGGATACCCATTTGCGACCCTGGTGCGGCCGGGTACGTACGGGTAAGGAATCAAACCCGTTTGCGACCTCTGCTAGAGGCTACACATTGTGGGACGTTTTGTCTTTGCGTTGCCCCCAGGCCCACGCTGGTGTTCGTGATGGAGAATGCGCTGGCGCTGCTCATGTCGCAGGCCATGCTCTACCTCAAGCACTGCACCGTCTCCTGCCGCGACAAGCAGCGCATCAAGCGCGAGCTCAGCTCCGAGCTGGTGAAGAGGGGATTTGTTTTGTTATCGCCGGTTCTGTTTGTATGTGCACGTGTGCATGGGTGTGCATTGTGTGCGTGCGTGTGTATGCATGTGCGCGCGTGTGTATGCATGTGCAGTTCTAAAGAAATTAGTTTTGAATTTGCTTCATAGCTCATCGGATTCCTCCAGGATAAATCAAGATTCTGATTGATTCTGACCTGCGTTGACCCCCCTCCCCTAATCTTGACCTCCCGTATCACTCCGCCGCGGTGGCGTGCCAGGAGGCGCTGCAGAACGGCATGCTGCGCTGGGTGCGCAGAGGCAGCCCCGTGTCGCCGGGCGGCGGCGGTGGAAGCGGCGGCGGTGGAGGAGGAGGAGGAGGAGCGGCGACGGGCGGTGCAAGCGGCACCTCGGCGGGGGTCTCCCTACAGGCCAAGGGCGGCGGCGGCGGCGGCAGCGGCGGTGGGCGAGCGACGTCGCGCTCCGCCGGCGCGGCGGGCGGCGTGTCGGACGCGTGGGAGCACGCCTTCCACGACCTCGTCGACCTCTTCCTCAAGAGGGTGCTGCGGTGAAGGGGAGCTGTTGAGCGTGTGGGCGGCGCCGCGGGGACGGGGGGGGGGCGTCCAAGCACCGGGTTACACGGAGAGGGAGACGTTTGGGCGTTGGCTGGGGGAGGGGGGCAAGCCCTTTTAATTCCTGGAACCAGGACCCATGTCATCCATGCCCGCGCCGCTGCCATAGACACGCAGGAATCCGTACGCTCGCGTAGGGACCCAGAGGGAGGCTTCTTACGTGGACAGAGTTATATTTTGTTCTAAGGAGTTCCAGCGGTTGGATGGTCCTAGGCAAGGCACCGATGGCTCGCATAGAGACCCCAGAGACTTGCAGAGAGACCCACAGATTCGCAAAGAGACCCATAGTACTAAACGAACCATTATTTTACCAGGTAAGGCCCACTGAGCTGTATAGCTCTTCTTCAGAAGCGACCTGGCCACACAAATGATAGCTGAACGAAGTGGGAATTTATAGCAGGCAATTACTTTTAAACGCACGTTGATTCTAAATGCGAAGGGAAAAAAACAGAGAACCCGGAGGAAAAAAATCCACGCAACCACGGGGAGAGAGAAAGAGGGACACGCAAATAACAAATGTACATCAGGCATCAGGGTCGGGATGGAACCCACGACCTCCTGTACACCAAGCGAGGTAGTTAACATCTCGCCATAGCTCAGTGTGTGCGCAGCTGCCGAGTGTGAACGCGATGGAACTGCAACCCCTCCAGCCCCACTGGCTGGAGGTGCCCAAGCGCGCCGGTGCTGGGGGGGGCCCGGGTGGGAGGGTTAATTAGACAGCCCCCCCCCCCATATCATTCCATTGCGAACCACTCGGTACCACAGCGCGCACGTGACCCACGCATACAGCACACAGTACACATGCACTTTACATGCACAGTACACGCACGGTACACACGCACCGTATACACAGCACACATACAATACACACAGTATACAAACAGTACATACAGGACACAGTACACACAGTACATACAGTACACACACCGTGCACACACACCGTGCACACACACAGTAAATGAACAGTACACACACAATGTTGTCCCACGTCCGACCGCATAGCCACGTGTAGAGTGAATTCAATCCCCACAGAGCAATTGTGCGCATGTACAGCGCACAATAGGACAGAGCGAACCCGCATGGAGCGTGCAGACCCTGCATCTTGGTGGGTGGAGGCATTAAATAAAGCAAGGCCTTGACCTGGGCTTGAACTGGGTCTGGAAGAAAGGAGGGAGCTTGAGACTGGGAGGCAGTGTGTTGTTGTCCCTCGTAGCGTACGCCGTGAGGGTTTGTATGAATTGCGTTTGTGTGTGTGCGTGGCGGAATGAGTTGGCGATACCCATGGATACCCACATGAAGTGCCCGTGTTGTGTTTTTGTTCGAGTCCTGTCCCGTGTACAGAGATTTCGTTTTTCAATAAAACGGTAAACTTTTTAGAGCGGTCATTCCTTTACAACCACATTTCTGGTAAGGGAAGTGGGTCTTGCGTTGCTACATCGCTCTGCTGCCACTACATTACTATTACTGGTAGGAACCCACTGGTTCCACCAGCCCACAGGGGATTATTGTGTCCGTCGTGCAGGGAGGGGCTGGGTGGGGAGGGAGGAGCTGGGTGGGAGGGGTGCGGCTGGGTGGGGAGGGGCTGGTCACCCCGTGGTGCCCTTATAAAACTCAACGTTTAACCTACTCACGCCGGCATGTGCCCGCCCTCAGTCGGCCATATTTGCTGAATACACCACACCGCCGTTGACCCTGGCCATTGACCGTGCAACCCAACGTTCCTACCAGCTCCCTTCGCAGGAATGTGTTTTATCCAGGTAAGGCCCACCAAGCCGTACAGCTCTTTTTCAGATGCGACCACCCGGCTATCACGAATGATAATAGCTCGACGAAGTGGCTTGTGAAACTGTCCAGCAGTAGCCAACTACTCTGAACTGCACTTTGATTCTAAATGTGGAGGGGAAAAAATTAACCCGTTAAAACAAAGTTTTTCACTATAAATCCTTTATATGCGTGGCGGCTAGAGTCCTCTCGTCCTCTGGCTTGAGATGGCTGCCACCTATGGGTCAGGTGATTGCCTGCCACCATTAAGCAATTGGTAATTATATATTTTTTTCCTAAACATTGTAAAATTTTGGAAAAATAAATTGTCACGCACAACGAGTCTGTGTGCAAAATGTCAGCTCGATTGGATCATGTGACCACGGGGAGAGAGACACGCAAACTCCAGGACAAAGCAGTGATCTATGGGCCCCTTGGCTTTCATGGCAACTGGACTGTGGAACTCTCCGGGCTTCACTTGCAAGGCACCTGGACTGTGGAACTCACCAGGCCTTGGTTTGCGAGGGCCCCGGACTGGATCTCCCTGCCGAAGGCTTGTCGGGGAGTCCGGTTTTGTTGAGATAATTTTAAGTCTCCGCTTAAGTCAAACAAAAAAATCCCTGTCAAAGGCTCTACCATTGTCCACTGTTGGGCAAACGCAGTTGGGCAGAGGCATAAAGCAAGGCCTAGACTTGAACTGGGCCACAGACCTGGCAGCACGGATCCCTGGGGAGGAGGGAGTTTGAGAGACATCACTCGTAGCTTGCGCCGTGAGAGTTATTTTGAGTGGTGTGTGTGTGGCGGAATGAGTTGGAGATGCCCAAGGACACGGACGCAAAGTGCCGCTGTTGGGTTTATTGAGTCGGGTCAAAGTGGACAGATTTAAACGATCAACAAAACGGTAAACGTTTGAGTTCATGTTCAAGCTGGTCATTTCCTCAACGACAACATTTCTAAATGTGAATTGGAAAAGCCGGATAAGCCACGTAAGAACGTTTCTCTTTCAGAAGGCTCTATTTTAAATGTCACCCCCCACCCTCCGCACCACTCATTGTCACCTTAATATCTTAATATTCTACGATATAAGCTGTCATTATAAGCATCGTTGCTTGGCAAGTAGAAATGAGTGGATTACGTTGCGTGAACAGCGGTCGAATAGCCTCTGAGTCAAAGTTTACAGCTGCCGGGAGTACGGCAAGTCGCAAACGACGATGCCACAATTCGACGTGCGAAATACATCACATCGATCATCAAATCGTGAACATTGATTGGTCTTGTGTCGCGAGACCCGATAGCGAGGCTGTCCACGTGGCATCACGTGATCAAACTCGACATCGAACCCCGCGGTGATGTCATAATGGGTTTGTTGTGATAGCAAAAAGCACAGAGTGCTTTATAATGTATTATTTATTGTAGATATCGTTATTGAATATTTATCATTTCGCCCAACCCCCACGCCTATGTTCACTCGTAAGTTGGAACGGATGGAGGGGAGGCTTTAGCTATGCACACAATGGATGTAGGCAGGGGCGGTTTCTTCATTAGGGCGATTGGGCGACGCACCACCAATGTCATTCAACCACAGTCACGCTAGCCGTCACTGCAGCCTCTGGATATAGTCCAATCAGCGTCATGTCACGTTCTGTGGAGTACCGCCTCTTTTTGGGCGATTTCACTCCGGCTGAGAATCGCCCCGAGTGGCCCCATAGACTTACATTCAAACATGTTTTTTTTCGAACGGGGGCGCTCCAATGCATTCTCAATGGCTCCGGGAGGGCAAGCCCCAACGTGCTTACGTCATCATACGTGCTAACGTCATCATACGTAAGCACGTTTCATCCAACAATATAATTTATCGCTACCGAGTGGAATCTTTAATAAAATAAACTTGAGTGGTTTGTTTTAATAGTGAGTATATAAACAAACAAGATGTATTGTAAGAGTCACTTTATTTTTCATTAATATTAAAGAAGTGAAGTTGCCTTTACATGCTTAAGCTGTTAATTTATTCATTGCATGGGTGGACCTTAATCATCCAGACATTTGCCCCCCCTGAGAGATTTTGCAGGAGCCGCCACTGGATGTAGGTTTCACACCGACTTCTCGTGCTACGGCCTCGAACCTTAACATGGGAGGGAGACGGCGTTCCCTGCATGCAGCCAATGACACCACCAATACCCCCCCCCCCCCATTCACCACGGCGCCTGTGCCAGGCTAGGTGCACTTTGAGGCTGTCTCTCAAGTGTCGAAGGCTCGCTGCTGACAGGAGGAGTTCTCGGGACAGACCCAGCAGGTGCCATGGGTTTGGCTGACTGAGATGACCGGCAGATGCACCACCAGCTGTACCAAGTGCCGGATGAAGCTAGTGCGGGTCCTGTAGCAGTATGTTATAAAGGGGACCCTACATAAAAAAAATATTAAAACACTATTTTTTTATCTTCTTGGTTCTTTCGGTAAAGTCACGTAGAAGGGAAGTAATAAAATAATAAAAATAAAACATAATAAAATAAAATAATTCTCACGACGTTTCGGCTACAACGCAAGCAGCCGTCTTCAGGTGACTTTACCGAAAGAACAAAGAAGATGAATCCCTGCAGTCACGAAAGCTTTAAATCGAAACTATTTTTTTACTTGCATAGTAAAGTAATTGCATTTTTTCATTTGCTATCCAGCCAGATAATACGCCAAATCGCTCACCTTAAACACCCAGTCGTTCATAAAAGGTAAAGGCGGTATAGTACTATAGTCCAGAATCACTGAACCGCCATTGATAGCTTGAAAGCATTTAGCGCGGGGCCCTTGAAAGTGCGGGCCCGTAGCATATGTACCTACTACACGTGTGTAATGGGTTTCGGAGACACTTGTAGAGGTAACTTCTTTATTACAATACACCACTCCAACAGTCCTGATACTCTGTTACAGCCTAGGGACACAGCCTAGGGACACAGCCTATTCCTAGCGTGCCTGACACTGGCTACGCTCTCGGGTCCTCCGGCTACAACTACCCTAGGGGAGGCTACCTGACCCGACCCAGCCAAGGTGCGGGTCTAGACTCTGGCTTCCTCGGAACTCGCCCTTACAAGGACGTAGAGCCGAGAATCCCAGAGTCCCACCACTGGCCCGCACAGCGTCCCGGTCCTTACAAGGACAAGCGGGACTAGGGGGTCCAGGGTCCTAAGCTGGCTGGTCTTGGGTCTTGAGCTGCGACTCGCCCCGATCGGCCAGGGAACGGCCCTTTTATCCCTCTTGCCCATCGAGGAGTGGGGTTGTGTGGGCTCCCAGATACCCCACAGCCCCCCGTTGGTGGCGCCAAGGGGCTCAGCTGTCTGGGTTGTCTGTATAGTGTATTGTATAGTAGTGTATAGTGTAGTGTATAGTGTAGTGTTGGTGGCGCCAAGGGGCTCAGCTGTCTGGGTTGTCTGGGATCCTAGAGCCCGGCGCCGAGGGCTTAGCTGCCTAGGATCCTAGAGCCCCCAGCAGCCTCTTGGGCTGGCACAGTGGCCCCTCCCCTGGGGGTCCGAGGTACCTGCAGATGGGCCCTGTCCACCACTGCCGGTAAGTGTGGCCCATCTATGGCACTACATGTGTAGCTATTACACGTGTAGCTACTTGTGCTACGAGGATAATCCGGCACTGGCTACACCCCCTACTGTCAACTTGCTGCGTTTTAGCCACCCGGCGCTCCGCTCGTTGTTGTGAGCGTCGTTCCTCTTGCCTTCCGTTGTTGCCGGAGGGCGACTGCCTCCCAACTGCCCAGTAGCAGCGTCCTTCACGAGTCTCCTCCCTCCACCACCACCACCACGCACACTGGCTCCGGTAGCTAAAGGCTCACGGATGAGATCGGAGTGAGAAATATTCTGGAGCCGAGGACTGTTCCTTAGAGCGGTGGTATTCGACCGGAGGACCCCTCTTTGGGGGGTAACGTGAGCTGGGTGTGAAATGATATCATGGATGGTGAGGAATCGCGTACCGTGTCAACCCATCACGATTTACCCCGTGTTCTTGTGCAGGGAAATTGAGTTTTCAGGTCCATACGGCGTACAGCCGTTTCAATGCGGGCAAAATCATATTTTTATTTGTTTGTGTTTTTCCCTTGTGATGGGACTTTGTAGGATGAACGTTGAGATTAATACGAGACACGGGGTGACCTATAAGGTCTGAATTGGTCTGTACATAAGGTAAGGGGCACTGATAAGGGGTTGATAGGTATGGAATCACGTTGGATGAATCTGCCGATATAAAATCACCGCGATATATTTTTTAATCCACGTGGTGAACCTATAACGACGTAAAAGACGTTGTGATACAATGTTGATTGCCATGAGTAACCGGCGAACGAGGAAGAAATAACGTCACGTGCTGCAGAGCGTCCGCTTAACGTTTGTTTCGAACTCGCTTGCAGTTACTCAGCTCGTTAGGGTATAACCTCACGAAATAGACAAATTGGTGAAAATATTGACGTTCTTGAATTCGCGCATTTATTGGACTCAGAGCCATTGTTTTGGGGTGAGGCAAAGGGGGGTGAACTGTCCTCTGTTGGACACATTTCAACAAGGAGGAGGGGGGGAGGTAACAGTAGTAGCCATTAAACGTTGAGAACCACTGCT